ATAGCTCTCATATGTGCCTGGAGGCGGAACCTCGGCTTTGGCACACGGTGTTGATACTTGAACTTGGTGTGGGGATCCATTTCTACCTTACCGTCGTCCCAGATCACAAGAGGCTCATCAAGTGGAGTCTTCTCCTTTTCATCGGTTTTGTTTTCTTCTGCCTTCCTAAGACGACGCACCATCTTTTCAATGATCTTCATGTCACTTGGAGCAGGAACAAACTTTTTCTTGGACGGTCCTCCTCCTCGCGCCAAAGGGTGATTAAGAAAGTCAAACTCAACGCTATCCGTCAACACATCGGCGTACATGTTGTATTTTGCATTTGGCGTGCGGTTGCGCTGCAGGTTAAATATCATCTGCAGGTCCGCATTGCTCAATGTTTTCTTTTCGTCATGGAGGGCATCGTAGATGGTTCGCATTGCGTTGGGGTCATCCGTCGCATCCAACAGACGTTCCAACGCGGAGCGCTCGCTTTTCATCAGCTTACGACCCTCAACATCGTACCCGTAGTGCGTTTCATCCTTGTACCACTCAAGTGGAATGTCCCCGACGCGGTTGAGTGTTGCCTCATCCTCGCTGCTGTCTGACTCATCCAACTTTTGCGTCGTACCAACACGAATAACATCCGGGTTGGATTCCTTCACCTCGAACAGACCTTCTGCATCGGGAAACAAGAACACACCATCGTCGTCGTCGTCGTTGTCGTCGTCGCTCCAGATGACTTCGTCCCTCAAAGACAAGACAGTGGCGGATGGAAGAGCTTCATTTGTTGCTTCTTCCTTGTCAGCTGGCTGCTGCGGGGGCGGCGTCAAAACCAAATCTTCCGGCGGGACCTCCGCAGCTGCTTCCAATGGTGTTTCTGCCGCCACTGAAGGAGCAACTCCTTTTTCAGCCCTTGTCGAGGGTTTTTCGCGGGCCATGCGGGGTGTCTCCACGCGTCGCACTCCGCGGGTCGCGGAACCACGTTTGGGAGGCATTCCTTGATATCTGATGGAATGAATTGCATGATAAAATAGAGAAAAAAAATAAAAATTACATATCTGGAGGACGACAGCTGGAGTTCATGCCCAGCCACACCGTGGCTCCTTTGGCGGAACCAAGATCTCTCCGTGTCCTCGTCGTGTTGGTTTCTCTCCACTCCAGCAACAAATGAAAATAAAAAAAATGAAAAATATATAAATGCAATAAATAACGCCTACACGCGGATCTTCCATCTAAAGACAATTCAAGAATGTACAGATGTGCGACGCGTGGAAGAAGTCTTCAACTTATCCTGCAGATCTGCAGACTCTGCAAGAAATCGCCGCAGTGGACCCTGCACAAATGCCATGACACAATTGTGCCTCGCTTCTTCGCAGCAAGTCGTGCAGTCTTCGTGGAATGCAACTTCCCCCCGCCTTAAAAGGCATATTTGGCGTCTAAGAGCATTATTTTCCTTCTCAACGACGCACCGCCGGCGCTTCTCCGCCTCAAACTCAACTTCAATGCGTCTTAATGCCTCTGCCGCGCAGTGAACAATCTGCTTGACGTCAGCGATAGACAAACCTTCCAACGATGCGTCACTGTCTGTGGAGAGTCTTGTTTGGTCAACTGCATCGGCTTCTTTGGCGCCGGCGGTGGCGAACTGGGCATAAGCAAGACGTTGCTCCAGTTCTTCAATACTTTTTGCTTGCAAGGATGTCAACTCACGAAGACGTATGACTTCCTCAGCCGCTGCACAAGCTTCCTGCTCTAGTCGTTCCGCAGTAGCGCGGAATTCCTGTGCCCTTGTCTCGGTTTCCAGCAAACACCTCTGCAGGCTACGTGCCCAATCTCGCTGTGCCGCTGGATCAACCGCCACTCTGCACTCCACATCTCTCTTGTACGTGTTGGGGTCTCTCTCGCGCATCTTACACGACGATGAACACGTCAAGCCCACTGTACTTGCGGAGGAGACGGCTGTTGGAGTCGATGGCACTCCATACTTTTTGGCACCCTTCGAGTATAAAATGCAGGGTGGTTCCGAAGTGGCGGCAACTTTGGGCTCCACCGGGTGATGTTCCACCGCATTTGGTTTCTCAGTCTTCTCACGTAATGGCGGCGATGCAATTTCAACGCCCTGCCATCCTTGCGCGCCATACACCTGGCTCCGCGAAGGTGGAGATGTAAAAACTGGCAAAAAAGATGATGGAGAGTGTGGCGAAAGCGACGTGTAGAAGGATGCATCCTGCCTGCTTCTGCTACCGCTGCTATCAGACGATCGGGCAGTGCACGCCATTGTCCTTTTCGCCGTCCCCCTTCCCACCACGACAGTCCACCTCTATTCTACTCTACAGCCACTTCCAGCCCACCGAAAGAATTTGGCCACACAATGGAAAGAGAACAAGTGAGAGTGGGAGTGAGATCAGAGAAATAGAAAGGGATCAACCACCACCGCCCACAACAAACAAAGAAAAAAACGGCAAAAAAAAAAACAACTTCACTTTTTGAAAACAACTTCCAAAAAAAAAAAAAAAAAAGGGAGAGAGAGGGAGAGAGAGGGAGAGAAAAAAAAAAAAAAGAAACAAGCAAAGCAAATCAAGATGGAGACGTTAGATCTCTTCACGCAAGCTTATGCTTTCAAATTTCAAAGAAAGCAAGCATCGCACGTGCAGATTAATATTACATTTTTCTTTTTCTTTTTTTTTTTTTTTTTTTTGCATCACAGCAGGCACATCAACACAATCATCTTCAACTGCCCTTCAGTCAGACATGCTTCTAACCCCTTTTTTCTAATCGGCCTGTGATTACAGCCCCGCTCCTCGTTATCAACTTTCCTAACTTTCTTTCCATTGCCCGATTTCCCGTTCGATCCTCCCCCCCCCCCCTTTTTTTTTTCTCTCTTTTGTCCCACAGTCACCCCGTTAGAACGTGAAAAAAAAAACAACAACAAAATGCAGAGAGGAATGAGACAAAAGAGGAGATGCGTGTCGTCAATTAAGAGAAATGTACGTGTCTATGCGTGTGTGCGAATGTGTGAGAGAACAAGGCCCCCCATCATCGACCACGACGACTACTACCATCGTTAATGGAGAGCTGATGGTCAATTTATACTCCACAACTCCTTCAGAAGCATTTTGTTCATTTCTTATTTTTATTTTTATTCTTTTACACCTCTTTCTCTATTTTTTGTTGCTGTTTTTTTTTTCTTTGTTGTTGTTGTTTTTGTTTTTGTTGTTTTGTTTCATCGCCTGCTTGCTTGCTTTTTTCACTTTTAATTTTCGTTTTTGAACGTTTGTCGAGAGAAAAAAAAAAAAAAAAAAACAGCACTAATGAGAAGGAAGACAAAAAAAAAAAAAAAAAAAGAGAAAGAGAAGGCAACCCTCATATACGAGAGCTGGAAGCCAATGCTCACACCTACTCCTCATCCAAGCCAAATGAATTTTCATCGGCACTCCCAGAGGACGGAGAATGCTCACATTCAGCTTCCTGATCAAGACGCTCCTGCAGACTCCGCATCGCTTCAATCCGCCCTGTGTTTGTGGCAGAGCTGTCAAGGGAGATTACGTTAGGGGGTCCACAGGGCGTCAGTCTCGCGGTGATAACATGTAACTTTCTTGAAGGGCCTTCAGCATCTCCCATCACAGATAGACGGGCCAGCACCGGACGCTTCCTCTCCTGTGCCAAGCTATTCGTTGCCTTTTCGGCCGATGATGGTGAATTCAACGGTACATCCGTAGAGTGTTGATTTTCGTTGCCGGCCCCACCGTTATTTTGAAGTGTGTGGTTGATAACATGAGCGGTCCGCGGGGTCGTTTTGGCATGGCGCTGAGTTTGCCTCATTTCTTCACAAAGCTTCTGCATTTGTTGCCCCCTTGAGAGAGTAGAAGAATTTGAGGGTAAATTTAGGGAATCTGTGGCTGATTCAGAAGGTGTCGGTAAATTACTTCGGTCTCTCACGCTCATTACCGCTGGGGTAATGCGCTGGGGCGTGGCAAAACCCACCGATGAGGCATCAAAACGCCGGGAACGCTCCTCTATTGCCTGTGGCGATGCTGGTGTCGGCGAACTCACCCAGGCTGGCCGCGGTGAGACACACTGGGTTCGGGCCTGCGCAAGGATGGCCTCGTATATGAGCTGATTTGCAGCGTTCGTTGTGGGGTAGATGCGCTGGAAGTTGCACAACTTGGAGTCTTCGCGAGCACGACGCTCTTCAATTAACTTGACCATCTCCATCGCCTGATCCTGTGTTCCCACGGGGAGGGATGCGATTATGTTGGATATTTGTTGCTGCTGTTGCTGCGGGTAAACCGTGGCGGGCATCGAAGATGACGATGCGGTGTCGTTGCCATCTGCGCCTTTGACTCCTGTCACATTTTGTGCGGCAATCGGTTGTCGCATCACACGCTGCATAAATCCCTCCCGTTCCTTCTTCTCGACATACTTCTTATCGGTTGCCTTCACGTCAATGATGCTCCACACCTCTTTAACAAGGGAGTGTTTGATCTCGTAGTCAAGCGGGGTGTCGGTGCAAAAAGACGGCGTGTGGTTGACTTCCATCAGCCACGGCTTCATCTTGTGGTCAATGAGGATATCAAACCCCAAGAGCTCGAAGCAGTTGTAGCCATCGTTTTGCCGAGGAAAACATGAGTTGTAGACATTTGCAATTTGCGGCTGTGCAACAAGGATGGTTTTGCAAATGAGATGAGCAACTGCCTCCCAAAAGTCCTCTGGGCGCTTTCCCGATGACTCTAACCATTCATTTAAAAATTTAAAGTTCCGCTTGTTGCCAACATTTCCATTTGCAACATCATCGTTAAACACATACTCTGGATTGTGCTTGTTCACGGCATAGTTTGTCAGATGTTTACACGCGTTACGAGCATTACTGTCCGTCGGCTTTTCGTACAACTCGGCGCACAATCTCACAAGTCCGTCTTTAAACATAAATATGGAGGGGGCGCGAATGGAAGTTAATAACACGTATACACGAAGATCAAATTTACGCCCCTCCAGCAAAAGTGGCCTGGTAACGTACTCCTGCACAATGTAGTTATCCAAGTCCTCCACAGCGTTTAATGGATCTCTAGAAATAACAATACCACGGCCTTGACAGCCGGAATTTGGTTTTAGAATAAAAAACTTGGACACCCTCTTGGCTCGTAACGCCATCATGAAACGAGAAAACTGATGTCGATCGCTACGAAGTGACCATGTCCTCGGGTAGAAGAGAAAGTGTGAGGGCAACAACTTGCGCATCTTACCGAGTGTAATGCCCAGGTGCCCTTTGCGGCAGAGCAGATACATCGAGGGGAAGTGATTTGTACGCTGCCAGCTTGCCATACGGACCAGACGCGTAAGAGGGAGCACTGTATCAGACCATATGAGATTGAATTGATTTTTCTCCAATTCCTCCTCTGTTTCCTGCGTCTTAAACCCTTGCTCCTCAGCAATGACACGAAGAAGTGAATATTTGCACAAAGAAAGATTGACTATTTTCTGCCGAATTCGTGCACTTTTTGCACCGCTCTGCTTGGATCGGACACTCACTTGCCCCTGCTTCGCGAAAGGCCGCTCCAGATCTGTCAGACGCACCGGTATCAGGGAACCGTTGAGGCCAGCGGCTGAACGGACACCATCAACAGCGCCAGGGGGAGAAGAGTTCGGCTTATTCTCCGTGCTCCCGTCCAATTTTGCAAGGTTGTTCGTGTTATTGTTGCCTTGCACATTACTGCTGTGGCGGCGCCGTAACTTACGTCTAGCAGAGACCCTATCACCGTTTTGTGTCTCACTTGATGATCTTTCATTCGATCGTTGCAAAGTATTATCAATTCGGGGTTGGCTTAAAGACCACGGTCTTTGTGACAGAGCGGCATTAGTGCCTGGGCGCCCCGCGTTCTCACTTTTACCTCCAGAGAAGTATGGGCCCGTGACTCTCGCTGACATATTTGGCCGAACAGCACCTACGGACGGCGAGACTTGCTTGTAGCAGTCACCGCTCGCCTTGTGAATGGGGCCACGCTGCGTTACAACAGTAAGGTGCGATCCGTCCGCGTCGGGCTCCTCGCACTCCGCTTCAGCATCCTGCTGTGGTCGCACGTGGCTGCTGGCCCGCCACCGTAGCGGGACCACTGAGACTGGTGCCACAGCCTGATTTGTCTTGTGAAGATTTACAACAGCAGCTGAGAGGGGCGCACGGCCGCCATTGACTGGGGCGTCTTCAGGTGCTAGCAGGGGGGATGAAATCTCCGAGGATACTAAACACGTCGCCAGCATCCCCTTCCTCTGTTCAACTATCACCTGTTCCGCCATATACAATTAACTTCACCACAGGGAAAGAAGAAGAGAAAACGTAGAAGAAAAAAACATCTAAACAAATGCAAAAATAATAATAATAATAATCATAATCATAATCAGAGCCACACGTCAACCCATAACACACATAAAAGGGAAAAAAAAAAGCATGATGATGATAAAATAAAAGCGAAAAGGGAGTTGTGTTTTCCCCTCATTGGCTTTTGTTTGCTTGTTTGTTTTCCCTCCCTCGCTCCTCCTGCCACCAATAAGATAGATAATGATGATCCCTATCAACTGGAACTCCATGAACACCACCCAAACACACGCAGACCCAAAAGGTGCCGCTGCGACACTCACTCTGTACATTCATGTTCCACTACAGGGGGCGGCATGGTGGCAGCAGCACATGGAGCCGGTTCGGCCGCTGGCACAAGAAGAGCATGGGGTTTCGACACGGCAAGTAAGGCCATTTGAAGTTCTTCTGCAAGAGTTGAGGGGGACACAACGACGTCTGTCTTGTAGCGCTGAAGAAATTTTACAACTTGACCCGCCGCATTTCCTGCTGTTGGCTCTGGTACCTGCTTGGTGGCACGCAATTGGCACAAAGAAACCTCTGGCCATTGCTGCTCCTTCGCTGCAATGTCCGCTTCTTCCGCAGAAGGCAAAACCTCCCCATCATCCAGCGCGGCCTCGTGAGGCGTTCCCTCAGCAGTCACAGTCCCACTTTTCTCCAGCGCAATTGGAGCATCCGTCACGGCGAAAGCAGGAGTAGCATCGTCAGCAACTTCTTCAACAATATGGGAATTCGTTGCCGGCGTTTCTCTCTGAAGCAGATCTCGCAACGCCTGCGAATACCGCTCAACCTCCTCTGGTGGAGTGGTACTCTCAACAACAATAACAGCACTCACAGTATCCATGCTCCTTTCCCTTCGACGCCCCAATGCGTATTGCACCACACGGCAATCTCTCTCAAGCGCCCCCGCATCATTGGATACTGGAACCAGCACAACAACGTAGCGTACCAATGCGGTATTGAGTCGCATTGTACAGCCATTGTTCTTTATAAACCACAAAACGTGCGTTTGACGCATTTCAGTAAAGACCGTCTTGGCGACAAGGCCAAAAATAATGTTCTTTCCGTCCATGGAATTGCCCGTCCCCAACAGAATAGCTTCGGCCTTGTGGTGAAGCGCCCGCTCTCTTGCGTATAAAGCAATGGCTTTGGCTCGGCTTTGCGCCGCTTCCTTTTCCGCCACTCGTGCAGCAGCCTCCAGCTCTGCTTCTGTAAATGCTGCCGCAGCTTGCTGCTGTTGCTGCTGCTGCGCCGCCAACTCCTTTTTCGACAAGGGCGACTTTTTGGAGCTTTGTGGACGTGTGGCAGCTGGTGTCGTCGACATGGGCGTAAATAGATCACTCAATACCACTGTTTCTATTTTGTAGTTGAGAGAGTCACGAGTGACCTTACTCTCGGTAATGGCCTCAAGCGTGTTCCTCATGACATCCGAAACCGGGAGACGGTTCTGCGCCGGCGATATGTCAACTGATGCCAGCCTATCGGGCGACTCCCTGGACGATGCAACCCGCGGCACGTCCTCCCTGCTCCAACCGTGCAAAAGAATAAGCTGTTCGCCGTCATGCTGCCGCATCAGATGCCCCGGAACAGCCGCCCACCCAATCGCCTTGATGGAGGCTGGCGCCCCGTCGCACATGACAATCACCGTCATTTTGTTTTCCCTTTCGTCTCTATTCTCGGTTCCTCTTCTTATCCCTCAATTTTACCCGTCGAGAAAAGTGACACAACAAAGCAAGGCGGATACTATCGAGTATGACCGAGAAATTTAAAACAATAAAAAAAAAAGTAGTGCGAGGGCCGGACGCATGGCTCCCATCCCGACTCAAACGTGCGTGTCTGCGAAAGGAAACAAGCAACAACAATGGCTAAAGACACGCGGATGTCATTGAAGAATAAACAAGAAAGAAAAAGGATGGGAAAAGTGACATTCCTGCTATCTCTCTTTCTCCCCCTGTTACCCTCCTAACCTTCCCAATGCGCACGGCACTCGTAATCTTCACCTATTATTGTGTTCGTTGTATAACCTGTGTAATCGGGAATTACCGCCATTTTTTACCCAACTCTTCTTTCTTTCCCCGTCCCCTTTGCGCCACGCCATTTTCATCTCCCCTCGTGCCTCCCCCTTTCTCCATTCAATTTAATTCTTATTCCGCCTGTCAGACAATCACAATTCAAACTCCCGAGGGAGCGGGGTTGCCATGACCCAGCCGCCCTTGTCCGGCTTGATTCCCTTCACCGACTCCTTCTCACGCCACACCTGCCGCATGATTTCATACAAAGCCTTGGTGTCAAGTGAGCAGTACTCTAAAAGTTGAATCCGCAATAGCGTCCACGCCTTCTCTCGAAAGTCTTGCCGAGCTGGTGGTAAGACCAGTTCCGTGTTCCCCGCGTGCTCAGATGTACCCTTCGCACTTCGACGTTGAGAATCTCTCATGGAAACTTGATGAAGATCCTTAAGCGAACCCCCACCCTCGTGGTGATACCACAGGCGATACACACCCATAGCGTTTTCGCCCTTCTGCTCATCTTGCCTACCACCATTACCGCCATCCATGTCCGCTGCGTCAATATCATCTCCACTTACTTCCTCACCAAAGACGCCGTACTGAAAGTCTGGACAAAGTGCAGGAAGGACCTTTTTCAAGGAATTGGAACCATGCGCATTCGGATGAACGATGGCTCTTTTAAACAAATCCAATGTATCCAAAAAATAAAACTGCTTAATATCTTCCTTGTACTCATCCATCAGTTGCCCGAGTTTCTCCAAACAAGATTTTTCAAAGCTGGCAAAATGTGCAATGAAACACCCATCGTATGGGTGAACAGGCTCTAGCAAAGGTTTATTTTTCGTGATGCAAATTGGCTTGGGTTTGACCGTCGGTCGCCCGCGCCGTTTCGTCCCCTTCGCAGCCTCCCTTTCTTTCTGCTCTTGAAGCAGCTTTTGCTTCTCTATTCTCCCAAGCTCACCCGACTTTGTCATCGACAGTCGCTTCTTCTCACGCTCCAAATGCACAATGCGCATCAACTCCTTGACACACCCACGACGCGGATCAACGTTGGGGGAATATCCCTTGCCGAAGTGCAGGTAGTCATAATGGGTGGGGGTCTCATTGAGTATGTCCTCCTGAAACACATCGATAGAAAATTGGAACGGGGTTGGTTGGTACGCTACCATTTTTTCAAATGGTGGGAGAGCAAACTGCGTCGCCTCAAAGTCAATAAAAAACACCGGATACCGAATGCGAGAAAAGAAGTTCTCAATTTCCTTCGGGTTTAAAAACAACTTACCAGCAGCAACGGCCTTCACATGACGCAGCTGCGGTGCCGTTAGTTTCACAGTTCCCTTCTTATATTGATACAAGACATCGCGTGCGGTACGAAGCCCCTGCGACCACCACATCGCCTTGCGTGAAATAGAAGTCGAGGGGAGGCTAAAAAGGTGGTTGTCACATTGCTTCAACGGATCTTCAATTCTGTTTGGCAGGCACAAACCCTCCGCGTAAAAAGGGCATACATCACCGCGGGAACAATGGGCACCTATGAATTCCGAGTACGTTGGCACACAAGGCAATTCATTGCCGTTGCTACAACTTGAAGCTCCTCTTTGCTCCCCGTTCTTTTTATTCTTTTGACAAGAACTCTTCTTGCGGCCACTATTGCTTCCGGTTGAATTCTCGTCACTCACTTCCCCTTCGTCAAATGTGGCCTTCACAATTTCACCGTCGAGGTATGCAAAGCTGGTCCACTTCGGCACGTTTGAAGGATCGCGGCCCTTTTCAATCAGCCGCAATGTATGAGTATGAATGAGGGCTTCTAAAAGCTTTTGTTGCGCCGCGAACAGCTCCTTCAACTCCGTTTCTTTCTTCTTTGCAACCCGACTAGAGGTGCTACTGCCCAGGTGCCGATGATCCAGCCCTCTTTTCTGTAATTTCTCCACCTCTTGTTGCAAATCCGTCACAAGCGGTTCCGCACGTAGACTGACGTTACTTAGATCAAAGGCTCCAGATGTTCTATGGTTGGAATTCGTGTCCGCCTCCAACATGTCCTCCAATGAAAGCCGCTGCACATACTTCACGAGACGTGAGGGATCGCAATCCATGATTGTCACGGGTCCCGGGAAGAACTGTCGAATGTGCAGGAAGCCACTACGTTTTAAATCAAGTGGAACTGCCACTTGCGCCGTTGACTCCAGACGGTGACCCTTAAGACTTTCCTCTGTAACCGTGTCAAGGTCAATGTTGAGAAAACGCTTGCGTATTTGTATTGGTATGTGCGTCTGGGTTACCCAATACCGAAAGGCAAGCGTTGTAAAATGCAGACGCTGAAGGCACTGCGCAAGGCGTGTGGCATTCCCAAATGGGTCAATCACAGCGGCCGTCTCCAGAATAACCCATTGATTGTCTTTGGGGCGAAAACGCAGTACAGCCGGTCGTGCCTGAAGCACCAACGGGCTGGCTGCCGTTGATGATATTGTGTTTCCACCAAACGGCGCAGCAAAGGCAGGGCGGTGAATCGTTAGCGCCGGCGCCTGCTCGCCCAACTGTGCGTGCACATTCTGGAAGTAGTTCACAAGAGCCTCCTCTGTTCGCTGCACCGCCTGGTCAAAGTCCCGCTCATGCACAACGACGGCCCGACTACCGAACTGGAGGCGATCCCACCTCCGCGCAAGTTCGTTAAACGCCGCTCCATCATCAAGGCGCACGGCCTCGCCAATGGAGATGCTCGGTATCAAATCTCGACGGTTCTGCATTAAGTAAAATTTCTTGGGGCACGTCAACGAGGCGGAGAAGCCTCTGAAAGTAAGAACAGTGGGGGACGTCACGGGGGCCATCCGCACGCCCTGTTCCTTTGCGACGGTGCCTTCTATCGTCTCATCAAGATCCGAAAAGGGCTCCGCCGCATCCCTAAAGACTTGAATAATTTGCGTCAGGGTCTCGTCGGCCTCCGCCGCTTTACCAACTGCCCCCATGACGGAACGCCGCACCACTTCCGGGGCTTTCCTTCGGAACATGACGCTCGCCCCCAAAAACTACGTTGCAGGACGAAATAAAAACAAAATAAAAGGAGAAATCACAAAAAGAAGAAAGTGTGGAAAAAGACAAAAACGAAGAAAAGTACCAAAAGCAGAAAAAAAATGAAAAAAGAAAAATAAATAATAACCCTCACACGCAGAGAATTAACACCCGCACGCACCGCGGCGGCCAGCGGTGACACCCAACTGCGTGGGAAACGACAGTACTAGACATGCTGGGAGCTGCTTTCGCCGTAAAGCGCAGCCACAGAGCACGCAAAGAACAACAACGGAATACATTTTTTTTTTTTTTTAAGGCGTCAAAATTAAGTTCTTAAAAAAAAAAAAAGAAAAAAACGCACACGAAAAATAAAGCAAAAGAAATTGATCGTCAAATTCGTTCTTCACCACATCGTTTTGCTTCGCCTCTGCGTCTGCGGTGCGAAAAGAGGCGGCATCCCTCACCCCCCACACACACACACAAGCACACGCACACGCACCTCAGCGCCTCTCCACAAAAAAAGATTTTTACATACGGCATCATAGTGGGTAAATGGGCAGACGGAGATCACGTGTAAGTCAAAAAGAAAAGCCAAAAAGGTAGAATGCGGCAAAATCGCAAATCACCCGTAAGCCGCGTAGCCAAAAAAACCCGAATTTTTGTGATTACCTCCATCTCCAGGGAGACGACAAACTCAAACGGTTGCCTCGCTCCCATTACATATATATATATATATATATATATATGGCACGTAAATGGAAAGAGAATAAAGTAATGATTGCAACGAATAAGTTTGGAAAAGCAAATTTTGACGCCTAGACTTTTCCCTTTTTTTTTTTTTTTTTTTTTTTCGCATCAAAAAGACCCACGTCCGGAAACACATGCAGCATTAATGTTTAAAGGGTTCCATCCATGTAGATTCAACAGACTCCGGCTAACGTCGACTTGAAAAAAAAATGAGAAAAGTGCAGACTATAAAAAGTAACAGCGGTAGGGCCACACGCAACCGCATAAAAACAAAATACGATGCTAAACGTCTTAGTAGAAAAAAAAACGTGTCCCCTTGTTGTTCCCGTATCATCTGCAGGTACCGTCGTTGAGAAGCAAAAAATGATCCTCCTCGACGTTCCTTCTCAATTCTTTCAGTATCCCTCCGGTGTACATCATCAACACTTTCACGATGCTGCAGGATAAAATTCGCCTGTGAGGCAATTGACCTTTTGAGTTCTTCTAGCCGTGCCTCCGTAGATTTCAGAAGTCTCGCCTTTGACTCAAGACGAGCAGCTTCTGTGGCCAAAGCCTCCTCGCGTTGCGCAATTTCAGATAACACAAATCTATCTGTGCTGCTGTCCCCTCCTCCTCCCCCTCCAAAAGGCACAAAAACAGATTTATTTGTCGTTTCTTGCATGACCTCTTCGTACCTACTGCGCCAGAGTTCAGCCTCTTCACGGCTCTTCTGCAGTGCCTCCTGAAGCCCCTGTACAAGGTGACGATTGTCCTCTGAAAGAGTCAACGATGTGAATGCCTCCTCCCGGATGCGAGCCTCCTCCTCCAGACTATGTACAACTGCTTCTTGCGAACTCACCTCTCGTTGCAGACGTTCCACCTCAACGCTGAGCTGCTGAGACTGTTCCATTCGATTTGCCAGTTCCTTACTCAGTGCCGCCACCTTCTCAGCAAGGCGTTGCTCCGACCGCTCCTTCTCTGCCCTTGAAGCAGTAATGCGCTGGTTTGCCGTTTCGGCCTCATGTTGCGCCTGTCGCAGGAGTGCCTGCAGTGTCATGAGTTGCTCCTCGCGTTGGTAGACGTCTTCCATCAACCGCTGCAGTTCTGTTTCGTGCACCCCTTGAGCCTCTCGAAGCTTCTCAGCACACCTCTCCTCCAGGCTGCGCAGCTCCGAGCGTGCAGTCTCCAACTGTTGCCGATGTGCTGCATCGCTCCAATTGACTATGTGCTGTGACGCAGATCTGCCGTCAGATGCATCTTCGTCTCTAACTGATTGACCCTCGTCATGGGTCATAATACTTAACAACTCCCTGTATTGTTCTCCCAACCGATCGAGGCTGGTTTTCGTCACTGTCGCCTCGTGTTCTGCCTGTGCAAGCGCCCTTTCTTTTTGCTCTATGATATCCCGAAGCTGTCGTAACTCCGCCTCACGTTGTTCCAAATCCGTCCTTGTCTTCGACACGTTCTCCCTCTGGCTGTTTTCACGCACACGTATGGCTGTCTCTTCCAACACCCTTTTGTGCTCCTCCGCCATACGCCGTTTCTCCTCTCGAAGTTGTGTCATTTCTCGCTGCAAGTTACTAATTTCCTCATCCTTCAAATTTGTCCGCTCACGAAACTCCTTGTCGAGCTGAACACGTAATGCCGACATCTCCTTCTCGTGGTTGTTCCCTGCCTCCTTCAGCTCATCACGCAGCTGCTTATTTTTCTTTGCCGCCTCGCCTAGTTGAATGGCAACCGACTGCTTCCATGCGTTGGTCTTTTCCTGCAGCTGCCGGAGTTCCTCTTGGGCGGAGAGTCCATTGCTCTTCTCGGAAAGAGACGCCTTCCCTCCCTCCTCCACGCTCATGCACAGGCCCTCCTGTTGATACCCGCACCACACAAAGACACATGCACACACCAAGAAGAAAAGAAAAAGGGAAAGAGCGCAGGCGTTTATGTGAGCGCTCAAAGGGATGGCGCATGTAATATAACAATGGCCAGAGTCAGACTTGGCAAAAGTTTAGCAAATATCCCCGTGTGCACGTGTTTTATTCGCACGGTGTGCGTCATCATTTTTTTTTTTTTTTATTTTTTTTTTCTGCTGTTTTTTATTCATTTCTTTACCGTCGCATTCCATCAACCCCTCATTTTCTCACATTCCAATTCGCACTCTTCGTCAGGGGAAAAAAATAGTCCTCTCCCATTCCTCTTCTCTCTGACTGGTGAGCAGCAAGAAATTTTCTGACAAAAAAAAAAGAAGCAATATTTACAACGCCAGAGATAAGAAGCGATCAAATCCCTTTTTCAGACGGCCGAGGCGGCTTACAACTATCTGCTCCGGCACCTCAATGACAGCCACTGTATCTGCATGATGGCCCTGGACGAGTTCATTCACCTTTCGCTCAAGTGCCTCAATGCGCTGCAGAAGGCACGCTTCCTTTGCCTCCGAAGCCTTCGACGCCGTGCTCAGTTCAAAGTAAAGAGCAGCCGAGAGAATAGAATAAACCAGCAGCTCAATGAGAACCTCCGCCCCAATTTTTACAAGACGTTCCTCATCAATGGAAGGGGAGTATGCTGATCGGAATGCCCCCCACGCAGTCTGCATCGGGAGACGTAAAAAGAGCCGGCCAATTCGTTGCGTACCATCGGATCCACCCGGCGCTGCATTTTTCTGCAACAAGGAGCGGGATCTCGGCGCCACCAAAAATCCTTCTTTGGCCTGGTTTTCCCTCGCATCTGAGCGCCCTGAGTTCGCCCATGACCCATCGCCGCGGCGGGTGGTGTCTTCTGAATTCCACTTTTCAATGACACAAGAGATCCCCAAAGAAAAACGACCGAGGCTGAGGCACAAGGCACGTGTGATGGTTGCCTCGCGCTTTGCCCGGGAGACAGTTGCCTTCACTACCGGTTTCGAAATTTGACGAATGGCAAGAAAAAAAAACCTAAAGGCGGGAAGCGGCGCCATTCGTCCTCTCCCCCTTCCGCAGTCGTGGGCGGCCTACACACACGGTCAATGAGATCGGTGCAAAGTGCACTGTTGCTTCCTTTGTTTTTTTTTTTGTTGTTGTTTTTGTTGTTGCTCCTTCGCCCCGTTTCTCTCCCTCCCTCTCCCCCCCTCCACACACACACACACACACGAGCGGGTGTGCAGCCACCCTCCGTATTTACTTGCATTGCACCACCACCACCGTGGACGGCGTGCGCATTGGCACCGGGCAACGCAACGGCACATGATGGAATAAAGGGGAGCAAGCACGCACGTGCCAAGGCGCAAAAAAAAAAAAAAAAAAAAAAAGCAAAAAAAAAAAACATTCAACACGCACACAATAAACTGAGAGAAACAAAGCGTAAAAAAAAGAAGGGACACACATACACACACAAACAAACAGAAAAACAAAAACAACAAAAAAAACAAGAAAATTAAGGTCATACATGGGGAGAGTCCGGATACAAAAGGTGCATGGGGAAACAGAAGAAGAAAAAAAAAAAAAATTTACTTTGAGGAGGAAAATGATCGGTGGCATCGATAAGGCACAAAGTAAATAAGAAGAAGAAGAAAGAAAAAAAAAAAAAAGAGGCAAAACAATATAGACGCCGAAAGCCAAGAGACAAACACAAAAACACCCAAGAACATCAATAATAATAATAATATCACAAGGAAGAAAGATATAAAAGAAATAAAAAACAAAAACGCAAGCAGAGAACACCCGAACAGGAAAAAAAAAAAAGAAGAAGAAGAAAAAGAAAAAAAAAAAGAAAACCGCCACGCCAACGACCTCCGCCAAAGGAGACAAATGTAAGTTCACTCGTTGAATGCATTAATCTCACTGTTTTCCCGTTCGCTTCTCCCTCCCACTCCTTTGCTCGTGGACCCTTATGCCATCATGTCCTCTCCCCCCTCAATCCTGCAGGGCTGGCACACCCAACCACGGGAGGGGAAAAAGGCGTTTGTGGGGAAAAGAAAATAAAATAGACCCTCACTGAAAACAACGAAAGAAAAACACAACAACAACAATAAACAAACAAACAAAAATAGGCGTGCTGAAGTCTCCCACCGCATGAGCAGACCGCTCCTTTCATGCTCCTTCAATCGGCATCGGCTCTTCCTCCCTGGCTCCAAATTCATTCGGCTACATGGCTTACACTCTCCCACCGTCTGCTTCGATTTTGGTCATTTTGATCGTTTGCACCCCCCTCTACCGTCCCTTCCTTCGCCTCTGCACACTGCAGCTTCCATGCTCCTTTTCCCCATCCATACATCCCCCCTTCTCTTCATCCCCGTCCGCCCTCTAAACACCACACGCAAGAAGTAATGGCAGTGGAACGAAAAGTATTCTGCTGGGCCTTACAGTATTAAAGACCCTCTACAAACCCCCCTCGCCACAAGTATGCCGAATGCGCACGCAAAAAAAAAAGCTTTTTTTTTTTTTTTTTTTTTTGGCTGGACGCGGAAAATTCAAAGAAAAAATTATGATATAATAATCCTGAATAAATAAATAATAATAATAATAAATGAAAGTCAAATAAAAATAATAAGGGATTTAGTTTGACTGATCGTTTTTTTTTTTTTTTTCTTCTTCTTTTCCTTTTCTTTTTTTTCTTTTTCTTTGCCGCCGGTGTCTTTGTGTTTCTGTTCCTTCTTTTTCTCTCTCTCTTTCTCTTTCTTCCTTTTTTTTTTTTATTTATTTATTTTCCTTCGATTGCAGCTGCCATCTATATATCATAATAAGGCATACCGTATTCGAGTGCTGCCATCACGTACAGGCTGTCATCGCGTCCCATTTCCTCTTCCTTCCTTCTGCATGCATATCCCCCTTTGTCTTTACTTTAGTTTCAGGCCCTCACAAAATTCCACTCATTTCTCTTCCTGTCAACGTGCACGCCAACATGCCCAACCCTCCTTATGATTCACAACAGGACGCGTCTTGCTTCCTCACCTCCTCCTTTTTTTTTTTTTTTTTTTTTTTTTTGGTCCTTTTCTTTTTGATTTTTTTTTTTTACTTTTTCTTCTTCTTATTGTCCTTCACCTTACTCTGCACATCCTCTCTCTCTCTCTCTCTCTCTCTCTCTCACGCACTTCGTCCCGCCACTTTTGTCCCCTTTCGCTTCCCCACTCCTCTTTCATTCTTTTCTTCCTGTGTTTTAGTTGCGTATGTCCATGAATAAGGGAAAACATTTCTTTCATTTCCTTTCCTTTTCTTTCTTTTTTTTTTTTGTTTTTTGTTTTTCTTTTTCTTCGTTGTTTCGTTGTTCGGTGGTCTTCTTCTGACCATCCTCTTTTTCTTGTTGCTTCCTTCTTTGTTTGTTTGTTTGTTTGTTCTTTTTGGTCCATTTGACTTTCTTTTCGTTTTGTTTTCTCCGCTTATGTCATACGGTGTGGTGCGCTAACGCTAATTCTCCCACTCCTACGCGCCGTTTCTCTCCGCTACTCGAGCTCCTCCATGGCAGTGCCGTCGTCTTGTCCCTCCGGGTGAGCATCCTCCGTCCACAGCGCAAGGTTGTCGCGCAGCAGCTGCATGATGAGAGCGGCCTCCTTGTGCTGCTCCTCATCGAGCACGCTGGGGTCACTGAGAGCCTCCTCAAAGGCCTGCCGGGCCAACTGGCAGCCGCGGTCAGGACTCTTGAGGATCTCATAGTAGAAGACGGAGAAGTTGAGTGCGAGGCCAAGCCGAATTGGGCTCGTAGGCTTCAACGAGGAGTTGTACTGCATTGCCTGCGTGTACGCCTCAAGTGCCTTGTTCTTCTGCTCCTCCGTGTTTGTCTCAATCTCGGCGTAGTAGCGGTGGTAATCACCCTTCATCTTGAGGTAGTAAACCTTTGTCTCCTCTGTGCTTGCATTGGGTAAGAGGTGCTCTTCGATAAGTTCCAGTATGTCGGAGCAGACATCACTCAACTCCTTCTCAATCTGCCTCTTGAAGCCCTTGATGAGAGTGATATTCTTCTCCTTCTTTATGTCCTCCTTCTGCTCGAGTGCAGTAATGCTGCGCCAACAAGCACGGCGGGCCCCAATAACATTCTTGTACGCCACAGAGAGGAGGTTGCGCTCCTCCGAAGAGAGCACGGGGTTAAGTTTTACCACTCGTTTCATGCACACGAGAATCTCATCATAGCGCTCGCACTGCTCCGCGAGTTTCGCCATAATGATGAGCTGCTCGCGTTTCTCAGGAACGGTAAATGAAGACATTTGCCTCTTTTTTCCTTTGCTTGCACCCGCTTCTTATTTTCCGTTGCTTTCTTTTTTTTTTTTTTTTTTTTTTTGTATGCGTGTTCTCTTGTATGTCTTTTTTTTTTTTTTTTTTTTGTAAAGGAATAATGCCCTTTCACCTCTTCCAACACGCACCCGGACAGACAGACAGAAAGAGAAGGAGAAAAAGAAAGTGGTTGAGTGGTTGAGTGAGTGAGTGAGGCAAAAAGCGGGGTGCTGCATGCAGCATTCAAATGGACATGTGTCCAGAGACACCAGCAACAGCCTTCGTTCGTGTGGGCGGAACCCACAACCCACCAATTATCGTTGAAAAGATACAAAAACAAAGAAAATAAGTGGGGAAAAGCAGCGCGGACGCGCGCAAATACACTTTTTTTTTCTTTCTTTTTCTTTAGATTCCACGTCCTTCACACGCTACCCATGGCCTCCCATTATTATTATTATTAGTGAACATCACTGGAGTTCCCTTCACGCAACCACTTCTTCCGAGCGCCCCTGTCTGGGGCGATTGAGACGTCCCCCGCAGCCCTCCCCAACAATAACAATAATAATAAAAATAATAATCATGCACCAACGATCAAGTCCAAAATTACAAAAAAAAAAAAAAAAAGAAACTCACGTACAAAAATATTCGTGTTTTCCGAACAACAACAACAACAACAACAACAACAAGAACCAGAAAACAAAAATGTAATGTTTCTATAAATATCGACATCGGGCGGACCGATGGAGCGAAGTACCCTCACACAAACAAAGCATGTATCTATTATATGTATGCGCTGTGGAGGGGGAGCGGGAAATTCAATAAAGAAAAACAACCAAATGCCTTGAAATGGAAAAAAAATGATTTTTTTTCTTTTTTTTTTTTTTTTTTATGGGAGACACAAAGAAGACATACATATATATTATATTATATATTAATATTTCAAAAAAGAAGAAGAAGAAAAAAGGACCAGAACATCACACGATGCAACCAAACTCGTTGTGATTTTTGTGAATGTTCCCTTCGCCAATTCTCTCCCTCTACTCGTCTTCCTCGTGTCTTTCGTTTTCTAGTTTTTCTAAACTGTAAAAAAAAAAAAAAAAGAAGGGAAGGGAAGGGAAGGGAAGGGAAGTGTGTATGTAATTTTGTATTTAGCATACATAATACCTGAAAGTGCTCTATGCGGAAAACGCGGATGTCGCTTCATTTTGTGGTGGCGGTTCTTGCGTGTATTGTTCAGCGGGCGTCACCACCACCGCCCAATCATACACAGCACAAAGAGACGTACATTTGAAGCCATCCCCACATGTCACGACGCGCGCCCCCCATTTGAAAATAAATTTAAAAAAAAGAAGAAATGAAATTGTTGTGGTTCTATAAAATGTGCTCCACCTCCGTGGTGTCGTCACTGTCGTTTGTGTCGTCCGCAGCCGGGGCGGTGGAAGACTTTCGACGGTTCTCCTGCACCCTCGCTGCGCGCTCCGTGCATTTGATAAGCTTCCGCAACCGACGCGCCACAATCACGGAGTGTTCCAGTGTGCCCTTCATGGGTTTCGTAAAATTTGCCTCTCCACCAACTCCCCCATTGTTACCAAACCCCTCTTTCAACGCAGCGCCGCTGAGCAGATGACTCAGGGAAGCGCCTCGGCAGCGAAGGTGGTAAATGGTGTCGCTGCACCGTTTCCACGAAGAAACGGGAAATTTTTCAGTAGACGACAACTCATGCACAACAGGCAGTCTGCGATCAAACTCCACACACTCCTTATTGGCGACTACCATGCTGGATTGAAAGGATGACATACTCAGCTGCTCCGGGTTCCTCACACGGCTCATGGCCACATACAACAGATGCTCACATGGCCACATACGAGAGAGTTCAAGATGCACACGCCCCACCAAAGTCAACCCTTGCACCTTGTGCACGGTAAATGCGTAGGCCAGGCTCAGCGGCAACGCCACACTACTCAGGCTGTAGTAATATGTCAATGGCCCACCACCAACATTGAATTCCCAGGGTGGAACAACAATGGTATCGCCGCTATGAAACCTCACGACAGGCAGCAACGGTACCTGCATCCCACATTCCGTCATGCAAAAGATTCGGTACCGCTCCACACAGTTGTCAACGCGATCTCCGCGAAGAAAGGCGGGAATATTCTCATGAGAACATTCCACAAAGTCCACCACAGTGCCAATACTTCCATTCACCAAGCGTGAAGAAAGATTTGCACGCAAAAGAACACGACAGCCCTTCTTGAAGGTTATCGGTTGTGCAATCGGATGTTTCTGCATCAACTTTTGAAGGTATTCCTCTATCTCAGGAGTGTGCATGCCATCACCATTTGGAAGAATCTCCGTTACTGTTGCGCCAAGTTCCAAGTCGTTGATGAGACCCGCAACCTCCAAGAATCGTTCACGCATTGCATCATGCCACGCGGCGCTCTCGCCCTGTGGGAGGCAAACACGCATTGCATGTCCATCCTCATAGACGCGGTAAAGGCACAGCAGCGAGGCCTTGGGCAGATCCAGCGTTGCCCGCAGAAGTGAACGCACATGCTTTGAAAACTCTTCCTCATTGAAGTCAGGTTTCGTTCGAAGGAGGAGTGTGGCAGTAGCACCACACCTGAGAGCTGTAATGCCAGTCTCCGGCACCAACATGACGGCGTCACCGGGGAGCCGTTGCAATTCTCGTTCATTCGCTGCGTGAACCTCCTTGTTTGTGGGAAGCAGGTTCACCGCCGACTGCACCATCGTTCCAGGGGGGAGCTGTTGCACCGACTGCAGGAGGCTCTCTGAAACAACACCCAGACGCATATCTTGTAGGGCCTCTGCAAATTTACTTTCGGGTACATGTCTTACCTGTGTTTCAAGACGCAACTTTACAAACATATCTTGAAACAACTTTGATGTGATAATCGAAGATTCATTGATCACACCAAGCTGCAAGAAGTCCCCACAGAGAATTATTTGTACACCTCCGAAGGGGAGGTCTGGGGTCCCTGCCTCCTCTCGCAATACCCGGTCAAACTCTTCAAACATTCGTTTCGAAAGCATAGATACTTCGTCGACCACAATAACATCATAGTCTAGCAGATGAATTTTGCGGAGGAACTCTCCCTGCGAGGAGACACCCAACGCATGGTGAAATGTGGAGCCGCCAATATGGCATCCGGCAACCCCGGTCGTGGCTGTCATTGCGACACGTAGGCGCTCCGCTTGCAGTCTATGATTCAGAGCACGCAGCAAAACCGTTTTTCCTGTGCCTGCGCTTCCACCAATATACAGCAGATGTCCTTTAAGAGCAAGTTCAATCACTTTTTTCTGCTCGTCGTTGAGTTCCACCGCCTGCAGGTCATCCAAAGACTGGTCCAAGGCATCATCGATGACGCCTGTGCCCACGGCGTTAATAATAGAAGCATAACGGTTATGCGCCAAATTATTGATCTTCACTTGGATCATCTGCTGAATAGCCTCTGCGGGGTCCATAATGGCGCGGTTTCGGAGAATAACACCGATTGCACGAATGATGGAAACAGGCCAATGCGATGGGAGCGTCGCCGTCCCGTTTCGCATTTTCTGCGCGAGTTCTCGAAGTACGTCCGGTTTCTCCAAATACACCTGACTTTTATCATTGATGCCAAAGCCTATACTCTTTAGGCAGGTCATCGACGGGGATGTCTCGGAAGTCATACGGCCAGTGAGTGCATTGTACACCAGCGTCGAGTGCAAGAGCTGGTTCGTGGCGTTGCTCAATGGAGGTAAACTTTCAAGCTCCTGCTTTGGCGCCCGATGTAACGCCGCTGAGTTCACCGTTTCCTCTTTTTTTCCTGCAAGCCTCTTCTGCTTCGGTTGCGAAGACGGTGGAGCGACGGTGTGCAGAGTTGGCTGCGGTGGATGGAGAGTGTGTTTGGTCAGTGGGTCCACGGAGGCATCAGCGACGGTTTCACCAGCAGGCGGGTTTTTGACGGTTCGTCTGGCCGCATTTTTGGTGTTCGATGGAGATGACTTTGGCCGTTTTTCACCAACAAAGCGCCGTGCAGTGTACATAAAGTGCGTGTCGCAGCTGAGAGAAATTGCTGTCGGGTGGCGTAGAAGCGCACATCTCTGGTGACCTGCTCGTGCTGCCATCGTCACGGCCCCTGCATGCAGCCCCGGGAGAAAACAACGGCGCAGCATTGCACTGAGCGTAATAAAAGCGGTGAGACGATGGAAGACAATTAAATAAAAGCCGCCGCCAAAAACGCAGATATTTTTTTTTTTTTTTTTTTAAGGAAAAACAAGAAAAGTGCGTGCTTTGATGAAAAAAGGGGGAGAGCAAATCCCGTTCCACTTGTAAAACACACCACGGCCCCCTTCTGTTGTGAGTTGCTTTCCCTTCCAATTCCAGGCGGCTCTCTCGATCTCTCGGCTCAAGACAACCTCTATTTCCTTCTGGAAGAGAAAAGCAGCGGCTAAAACATTTAAAAAGAAAAAAGAAGAAAAAAAAAACCAAAAGAAACGCATGTGTGCATGTAAAACAGTAAGCAAGCGCGAGTATGTGTGCGATATGAACATATAAAACAAAGTCAACAGAAGCGGGAAATACCGAGAAGACAAATAAATTCATGTATTTAAATTGTTAAGAACGTCATTGGCAAAACCCATGTGTGCCTGTCGTTGCGGTAAATGCGTTGTCCCCCGCCCACTCACTCACTCACTCACTCAGTCGTCAACAAATGTAATGCTGCAAAAAGAAAAAGAAAAAGAAAAAAAAAAAAACAGGAAGTGAAGCAAAGGGATGGCCAAAAAAAAAAAAAAAATAATAATAATAATAATAATAATAATAATAATAAAAGAAAAAAAAAAGGAACAAGTCTATAATATCCCCCGATGCATGTCCACAGGCATGGAACGGAGAGGTTAGGGTAAATAAAGTAGGTAAAATACAAAAATAAAAGAAAAACGGCATTTTTCCGTATCAGTCACCCAATAGGGCCACCTTCAACGAACAATACGCGCACCGCTGAAACGTCTCCTTGAGGTACCTGCTGGCATGCTAGCATGATGTCGCTTCGCGTGCTCCCTGGACACCTGTTTTTGACGCAAAACTGACTTGCGTCTACTCGGAACACGGCGCCACGTGGCTTGGAAAAAGTGAGGCAAAACGCGCACAGCCCCAACAGGTGGCAAAGACTCATCAAAAAGTAAACATTCCGTTGCACACCGAACCAAGTCTCTGTGGAACGAAGAAACCGTGAGCTGCTCCGGGTTCCTCACACGGCTCATGGCCACATACAACAGATGCTCACATGGCCACATACGAGAGAGTTCAAGATGCACACGCCCCACCAAAGTCAACCCTTGCACCTTGTGCACGGTAAATGCGTAGGCCAGGCTCAGCGGAAACGCCACAATCCCCATGTAATAGTGATTTGTATTTGATAACCCCCCGACACAAAATGTCGTGGGTGGGATGACAATAACCCTTCCCCCACCAAACTCTACTTCTGGAGCCAAAGCAACTGGAAAGCTGTGCTCGTATTGAAGAAACTCGCTGTATCCATCCACGGCATCGAGTCGCCCAGATTTGGTAAGAAACTGCGGCAGGTTCCCCATTTTCAGCTCCTTAAACCCAACAACGACGCCAAGACTGCCATTTACAAGACCCGGAGAGAGGTTCGTGCGGAGCATCACCTTTGCACCCTTCTTGAGACAAAGCGGCGACATCATAGGGGAGTTGTTTGCATAACGTGTCAGAGCGTACTCGTCGGCATCGGTGTGCAAACCGTCCGGTGACACGATGATTTCCCTCAGAGACACTCCCAGCCCCTGCGCCGGGAGCCATGACTCCAAATTACGCAAATGACATGCAAGTTCATGTTCGTCCTTCTCATTCAATTCGTGCGGGATGCGCACCCGGAATGCAAAAGCATCCACAAACAACTTGTAGAGGACAACATTTCGCTGGCCTAAGAGAGAAATCGTAAGACTGGAAGCATTTGGCACTTTATTCACGAATTCAAACACATATTGCTCCAATGACATGAGGAGCTTGTCCCTATTCAAAGAGTTTGGGTCTTCGTGTTCAATGGCCAGCATATAAGTTGCCGTCCAGCGACCAGAGAGCGACGGTGACTGAAGCTGCGCTGGGAACACCACAAGTTCACCAGACAACTTCTTCAACTCAGCCTGATTGATCGCATCCACCTCCTTATTTGTGGGAAGCAGTTTTACTGAAGATTCCTCATCCTTCATCAAGGCCTTCGCACTCTCGGTGGGCGACAAGAACGTAACCGTGTCTTGTAGGTCATGTGGGACGATCCCCCGACGCAGCTCCTGTAGCTGTCGCAAAAAGTGGTCATTTCCCAAATGACGCACCGGCTGCTGCAGTTTGAGCATCGCAAAGTATCTTCGAAACACCGCGGAATGGACAAGTGACAACGAAGCAATTGCCCCAAGCTGAAGAAAGTCCCCTGACAAAATCATCTGCACTCCACCGAACGGCAAATCCACACCGTTTGCTCGCCGCAATTGATACTCGAGAGATTCAAAAAGTTCCCTCGACAACATGGAAACTTCGTCCAGAATAATCACATCAAACGCCCTCAACTCCGCCCGACGACTGCATTCACCGTGAATATTCACCCCAAAACAGTGATGCAGAGTCACACCATCAATCCGCGTCGCCGCAATGCCGGTCGTTGCTGTCATGGCAACAGAGAGGCCCTGACGTACAAGCTCTTGTTTAATCACACGCAGCAGAAGCGATTTGCCCGTTCCAGCCCCTCCTCCAATGTACGTATTGTGTCCCTCCAGTACAAAATCCACAACACGCTGCTGTTCTTCATTCAAATCCTGATAGGTTAACAATCGCTCCTGCAACGACATGCTGCTACCCAAACTGACCTCATTACTAAAGGGCCCATCGGTGGCACCCACGTTATTTTCATTTGACACAACACCCACTCCGCGACGGGTCTTGGCTCGTTGGTAGTGTGTACGAAGTAAACACCGAACTTCCTCCACAACAAATTCTTCATCTTCTCTCGCCGTTCTACGCAAAAGGACATGTTGTAACTGCCGAAAAAGAGTATTCCGCCACAACGCAGGCCAACTCACTTCCTTCTTAAGAAGCTTGCTTCGCAAATTCAGGAGGGCGGCAGGATCCACCACGTCCAGTTCCTGTGAGTCTTGGTAAACGCCAATGCCCAGCATCCCCAAAGCACGCACGCTCGCGGCGGAGCGTTTCACTACACGATGAGTAAAGATATTATACACGAGAGCATCCCTATCGTGGTCGCCTCTTCCACTCGCTTTTGCCACTGCATGTGGAAATGAGGAAGGAGGCATCCGTCCCAGTTTTTCCCGCTGATTGCATTCTGCAAGTGAAACGTTCAGAGATGTTGCTTTCTTCAGCTGGCAGCTACCTTCATCGACGCGCTTCTCATTAATTTGCTGGTGTTCCCTCGCTTGCCGCGTTCCGTTGTGTGCCACCACGCATCCATGAGATCCTACAAACCCCGTAACCAAAGGCAAGTGACAACCTCCACCTGAAGCGTTAACTAAATCGGCGGTGTCGCTGCAATTTCTCATGTTTCCACTTTTACCATTGTCCCTTGCCCCAACGCTGACAGGATCCCTGGCGCGCCAGGCCAGACATATTAAACGCGGCTTCTCTTTTCTCTCCCCCTGTTTTTGCGTCTCCTGCGCCCCTTGCTGCGGTTGCTTCCGTGGTGATTCAACCTGTATTGGAGCCGTAGGGTTTGTGCCGTCGGCCACATGCCTGTCATTTGTTGTCATTTCTCGGCGCTGGTAACGCAAAGCTACACTGCCGCACATCAATGCCAAAGTGACCTGCTGTTTTTGTCGCCAATAACAATGAGTGTGCATGGCACCGGTGCCGACTCCTTTCGTTGCCCACGATGAGGCGGCAGTTCTGTGCGGCACTCCCCCGCTTGTTAGAGGAGGGGCGTACGAAAGGAAGACGGCAGGGACAAGACAATTCGACACATGTAACAAAAACGGCCATGCAATCTCGCGGCAAATAAGGACAGCTGGGAGGAATTTTTTAGGCCCACGGTGGCCGAGCCACGCCCCACGTGTCAACAAGTTTATGTGTTGAAAAACTGTTGAATCGACCGGTGGCAACCGAGTCATGCACGCAATTTTCTACGCCTTTTTCTTTTCTTTTTTTTTTTTTTTTTTTTCCTTTTCCCTTTTCTGTCTTTCCCCGTCTTTGTGTTTCTTCTGTTTTTTGTTTTCTTTTGTTTTGTCCCTTCACGAAATCCTCTCGTACGCCCCTCTCCTTAACAGCAGGAGCCTAAACAATTAAACCCACACAAGATCACCTCCAGTTTCTTAAATCTATTCCTTCTTCGGCTTCTTTTATCCTTCAATCAGCCAGTGCACCGCCCCAGACCCGTTCACTCAAATTCTTTTTCTTCCCCCCTTGTGTGTGAGTGTGTCTGCAGGTGTGCGGCTCGGACTCTTCTGTAATAAACTCTCACCACTATATAAAGAAGCCTCTATGAAAAATTAGTCTGTCCCCACTCCTTACAACGACTTTTAATGTTTGCGTATATATATATATATATATATATACAGGCAAAACACTTGCTTAGTTACAGACTGCCCTTTCTATTATCTATGACTCACCGCTGACGCACTCAGCGAAGCAACAAACTCTCCCGCCCCCGCCCGTTCACTCAACGCAGCGTGGTGAGTGAAGAGGGGCGGGAGAAGAGGCTCGCTATGGCCCCTGTTTTGTCCCCACCCCACCCCCAACGCTCTCTCTTATTATTGCTGCTGCTGCTGGTGGTGCTCCTTCGCGTGCTGTGTGTTGCGGTGTCGAGGGCAGAGGAACGTATCTCCCTCCTCCTCCCGTTTCGTGTGCCGCGCTGATTCGAACCCCCGCCAGGCCGGGCTCCCGCGCCTAATAAACCCCCCTCGGATGTGTGGCAAAACAGCCGCCAAGCGTCCCTCTCGCTCCGTCAATTCCCTCCGGCGGTCCTCCACCTGCATTTGTTGTGTTGACATGAAACCAACGGGCCAATTGGCAAAAAAAAAAAAAAAAAGAACAACACAAAAACACAAACAAAAAAAAATACGCGTGTGGGGAAAAAGACAACGGCAGTTCCGTGAGTACAGGCCTCTGCAGATTAAAAGGGGTGACGCAGGCACGTACGGTACCGGGGTGCCCAATAAAGCCACCGTCGTCGCGGTAACATTTCCGCTTCAAGTGAAAAACCTCGCACGCCGCCAACCCCGCTCCCCCAAAAAAAAAAAAAAATGATAGAAAAGGCTTTCCAGATTTTCATTATTATTAATTTCTTTTTGTTACTGTTTTTTTTTTTTTTCCTTTCCACACGACTAGCAAACTCAACTTTCGTTCACAAACTCTTTAGCCTGGCGGCTGCTACCTCCTTGATGCAGTCCGCCAACCTTGCCGCTTCTTGCCACTGCAGAAAAAGAACACCGTCAACAATAGCCGTCGGAATGGACCCGCCAGGATCAACCGATGCACTTCTTGTCACGCGAATACCTCGCATACCCTTCTTATCCTCCATCTCCTCCGCCATCGCGAGGGACATAAAAACACGCCCTCTCTGATATTTGGGATTTGGTGGTAACTCTTCCGTTGCGTCCTCGCCAACGTGCAGAAAGATAGAACCCTCCTTCGCTCCATCACTACAGGGAATCCCAAGCGCAGCACATTTGGCCAGGCTAGGGTAGTAGCAAGTCACTTCACGTGTCACCATCTCGCGTGGGTCAATGCCTGACACCGGAGACGAAAACGTTGTGCGAAATATCGAAATTGAGTCCGAAACTTTTTTGATTTCCCCCCTGCTCTCTACGCCACGGGCCAGCCTTTTTGCAATGCTCATGTCTGCAAGAACGGATTCCAAATCTCTCGGTGTCGCACCAGGAACAAAGGTAACTGTCTTCATTGCCTTCTTGTCACACCACGGCAATACCGTCGACCAGAGAGAAATTCCTTTTTTATCCAAAACCAATTTCCATTGGCGAAGCAAAAGGCCTTCTACGACGCTTTTCACAATTCTCTCCGCCTCTGGGTCAGGCACGGTATCTGCAGGAGGGAGTTCCCTCGTGTGTTCACAGGTTGGGGCTTCCCCGCTTAATTTTTTATTTTTACGAGGCACTGGACGGTTTATAAAAGGGATAAAGTCCCTCGCATTTACGTACGGACGCACAATATTTGGCTTGGGACCAATTTCAGAAAGTAGCCTCATCATAGCCTCTGTCTTTTTAACATGCTGTTTGTTTGCATAAAATTGAAATGTGCCTGGAATATTTCCTTTGGGGTCTACGTCGTGACAGAGATGAAGTGTCAGAGAGCCATCCGCCTCCTCAAGGCCCATGATATGATAAATATGCGATACTGCACGTTCATGCCCATCCGAGGCTATTGATGGCGGAAGTGTAACAAAGTCATCTAAGCATGCAACTCCACACTGAGAAAATGCCAATAACCCCTTGCCATTGTCAGGCCGTATGCCGAGTGCTTCCTGTTGCGAAGGTGTAAAAAGATTTGCGCAACTAACCCAAGTTAAAACTTCTCGGGGTGCAACGCCCCATTGAAGTGTTTTGTATCGCGTCAACACTAAACGCTCATTTATGCCCAGTGCCTTCACACTCGCCCGTCTCTCCAGTAAACTGTCGTACTGGTACGCGTAGGATCCCTTATCGTCCTCAAAATCAGGATCGTCAAGAAGCAAATGTTGCAAAGTTCCCGCGTTCGCATGTGGGATGTTGGCAACCACAAGAACCGCCGTTTTTCCAGAGTAGTTGCTTTTTTTCTCAAACACCACTGCGCCACTCCGCCGCTTCTCTCGTGTCGCCCAGCCGTTCGACACCGAAGCAAATTTCACGCAGCGTGTAATGATCTCTGAGAAGGGGCCCTCGGGTAACAATTCATCGTGAAGGGCCTTCTCGTGTGCATCCAGCGTGGCTGGTGTCCCCTCCACATCGTTGCTCATTAAAAATCCATTTTCCTCGTTCTCGTCATTCACAACACACGGTGTCGTTGGGCAAACGGGTTCCTCAAAAGCGGTTCCCGCCGCGGCAGAAACCGGCACTCGCAAGTTTACTCCACAAAAAATTTGAAAAATTCCCCTATACAAAAGCAATGAAACCAACGACGGTAACAAAACACTTTCCAAAGCATCCATCAAATTCAGCTGCGGAAAAAGCACTAACACCACGTGTTTCACCAACGCGAGAGAAATAATAGATGACACAACGTGTCGAGGACTCCGCCAACCAAGATAACTTTCCAGCTGACACAGTCTTTCCCCAAATTCCTGTAGCTCCTCGTGACTCATTGGACGAAAAGGATAAGTAAATCCAGCACCGAGTGAAATTAAAAAAAAAGAAAAAAAACGCATGACACCGCACCCTAAAGCAAAAATTAATAAAGAAAGGTACACAAATGTGTCAAGGGGGTGTAGCCAACTCCATAAACTCATAATACGAATAAAGCACATATCCTGGGCATCAAACGACAGCTGTTGCTGTTGCTGCATGTCATAACTCAATCCATTTTCCTGCCCAGACTCTCCAGAGTGAGATGAAGAAATACATTTTACGTCCTTTATTACACCACTCTCACTGACTAACTTCTGTTCTGTTTCCGCTTTTGATGCCTCAGTAAGCGTGGAGGTGTCACTAAGGCACTCGTGCAGTCTTTTCCAACTGTCCGCCGCTAGCAAATCGCTCATGGTGGCCAAACTTCGGTCCTTGAATAGTAATGTAATTGTGTCCCAGTCACACATAATCTCTTGGAGACTGTTGGCGACAGCCAGCACAATACGTGAAGACCTACTTCTTTTCTTCATGGCCACATGTCTCTTTACGGGGTCCATTTCATAGTCCAACGTGTTGTATGAAAAAATAATCCGATACCGCAAAAAATCGGTTTCTCTGTAAAGAAGACGATGTGCAATACGCTTGTTTTTGCTGAGTCCTTCTACTGTGCGCTCCTGAACGCAAAGTCTCTTTTCAAAGTTACCAGCGGTAATTCTCCATGAGCGGAACGACTTGGAAGGAATCGGTCTCGAGAGAATCGTCATATTTCTTTTTTTTTTTTGTGTGTGTGTGTGTCCCCCCTCCTGTAGGCCCAAATTTCCTTCTCTTCCTCTCCCTCGCTCTTGCTACTCCTCCTGTCACTTTTTTGTCGTTGTGTCTCCTTTTATTTATTTTTTTTTTTTTTTCCTTCTTCCTTTTGTTTTTCCGTTTGTTGTGCGTGCGCTCTCTTATTAATTCCTCTTTCCCCCCACCGAACGCACAGGGAGTTGGAACGGGGTAAATAAAATACACAAGAAGTAGAAGAAAAAAAAAAATTTTTTTTGACCCGCCTCTTCCCTGGTGACCAACCATTTCTAAGAGAGAAAAATAACAACGTAATATTTCGTGTGTTGGTGTCGTTTCATTCAATAAACATCGTCTCCACCGCCATTTCATGATAGTCAACGTGGTGGGAAGAAAATAAAAGACAAAACATATCACATATTGACAAGCCATGCAATGCATGCCTGTCTGCATGTAATATACATGTGTACATATGTACATATCTTCTGCGCATTTTTTATTTTTTTTTTGTCATGCTTTGTACAGAGTTGTGGAGGGAAAAGAAAAAGAAAAATATTTTTTTCTCATGTTCAAGCTTCCTGCTTGAAACTTCTCCTCTCTAATGACATAATAGCCGAAAGCGCATCGTTTCTCTGGGCCAAGGGGCGTAATAGGCCGCGGCGCAAAAAGATTTCCAGTCGTTGGTCAAACGGTATCAGTGGATTTGGCTGTTTAAAATGGCATAAAACACAGAGGAATTCAATAAAGCCATCGTAGAGAAGCACAGAAACTTCCCTCGACTTTCCCGTCTGCGACTGGACATCCGAATTGGGGTCCAGAATGTTCACGTTGCCACGGCGGCGTTGTACCGTCAAATCACGTGGACGGGCATCTTGCTCACGCCGTCGCTCTTCCTTACTGCCTTCATCCGCTTTCCGGGTGACACTAAAGGGCATAAAAAGTTCATAAATCAAATTTTGTGAGATATCTGTGCTTGTTAGCATTGCATCGCGAAGCATCTGCAACAAGCTTTCCCGTTCCATTCCTGAAACACCACAGATATCCTTGCAATACGTGTTGAAAAGCAGCAACAGTGCCTTGTTGTGCCGTATGAGAACTTGCTCAGTCTTTACATTTGCCCGAAAGCTCCTTATAACGCGTACTGGGTCTTCCGCAGCATTTGTCATTAAAATTGGCCCTATATAGCGAAAGACAAGGTTTGAGAGAGCATCAGCAAGCCACACAACACCTCCCTCGTTCAATTTTATCTTATCACCTAGCGGCGGAAACATTTCATGCGCCAGGAGCACCACTGCCACAAGAAATTCAGAAAAGTACAGTACGCCTGTAAATGTAGGCAGCTGCTGTGGGCCCCATGCATCAACGCTGGGATCTGAGGTTCGTGCCTCTTTCCTCGACTCCACCGCTATTGATGTAACACGACAAAAGATGCGCGTGATTTGCTCCAGGTCTAGTACTGATTTTTCCGTATCGTCCGGATTCACGAGTCCAAGGTCTATCCAAAGAAGACGCCAACTGCCAAGATCAAGAGCCGGCATCGCACAGGAGCCAGAAAAACTGCCACGTTGCACGAAAAGTTGCAAAAGGTCATTAACACACGTGCCAATGGAAGACAACAAACGAGTTTTATCCATTGCGATAAATTCACTCCCATCTTTCCACTCATAGCCTTCCCCTGTGCCACTTTTCACCAGAGTTCCCGCCTGGATGGCCTCACGTACTACCGCCTCTCGCTGCTCAAACATCTCCTGGACGCATGGCATTTCCATCGCAAAAACCCACTCTCCGTCACGCTCTAACCCGGCCTGCAAGGCGACAGGCGAGGCACGGCTCCCGGTAAAAGTACCGCGACTCAGCCCACTAAATGTTTTTACTGGCACAAGACATGACACAATAATATGCCATCGGTGAACTTCGAGGGAGCGATTTAGTGCAAGACCAAGGGATCCAAGCATTTGGGCCAATTCGGGAGAGTTAAACGCCACGCTGGGCCAAAAGTTACCACGCAAAACAAAAGGATGCGCCATGGTGTTAATTAACGGCTTGCAGTGACTCAAAAAAAGTTGCCATGGAGTGTGATCCTCTTCCTCCAGCTGCGTCAGGAACCTCCGCGCGATAGAAAACTCCTCATCTTCGGTGGAACGTTGTTCTTTCGACTCTGGCTCCTTCGACACTTCAGCAATACTTTTCTGATCCTGTAGCGAATAGGTACCACCACTAAGGAGATATAATATTGCCTCACGCTCAATCATTGCACTCTGTCTTGCCTTATGGTTAAAGGGGTGTGAGAAGCGTACATATAAGAGTGCAATAAATGTAATTGTTGCACTTCGATCTCCCCGAGACAAGGCGTAAGGATCAATGATTTCTAGCATCTCCACACGATCTACAGACGGTAATGGCACCATCTCTGTTGCCTTCACGGCAGCTTCGCGAATAAGGGCCATTTGCTTTTTTATATACTCGTCTCCAAGCTGTTCTTGTCCTTCCATTAGTTCCGTTGCAAATTGCAGTAAAAGTGACATGCGCCCTGACGGCTTAAGATTGAGCAGATCACCAAAACATTCCGAGTACGTCGGAAAAGGGGTTTCAAGTTGCACATTCTTCTGCATCAGTAATTGCTGTCGGTGTAACGTGAAGCTCAATTGCGATGACGCTTTATTTTTGGTTTCTTCCGTTCCAGCTTGTGCCACGGCCGTTTTGTTTTGGTACCGTGGCAATGCCAAGTAGAAGAGCAGCCGACTGAAAAGCACCCCGTTGCGCACCTCGTCCGAAAACTGATTAAATCGAGCCGAGAGGGTGCCTCCCTTCAAATCATCAAGAGACTCCAAGTCCTCCAAACAACCGTTTGCCCAATCGCGTAAAATTGTCTGTGCATCGGGCATATCACGCGTAGAAACAATGACAAGTGGTGCAATTTTCCCAAATAGCCGTTCCTCATCCGCACCAGGCTCTGCAGTGGCAGAATGCCCCGTGCTGCTGATGCTGCTGTTCTCATCATTCTCAACCATGCTATCCTCCTCCGCTACTCTCGATGGCGCCGTATTCCTGCTTGCGCGCAACTCGGAAGAGCCTGTCGCCATTTTCTCCACATAATTGGAAGAATCATTCGTGTTGCTGCGCTTGTGCGCCGCAGAAGCCACCAACTTGCGGGCAACATGTAGGTCATCCGCGCGCTCTGACACGGATGTAGAGGCACCACAAAGCTCCCCAATCACACGCATGACTGTGCGCTGCCATGGTCTATGCGTCTGGCAACGCAAACGAGACTTCAGCTGAGTGATGCGACGCGCCAGCTCACGTATATCTAATTCCTTCTCCTGTAGAAGGTTGGAATACTGCAGTCGTTCTTCCTCGGAATTAAAAAGACTCAACTCAAGATCGCGTGTTTTGCTCTTTAGGCTGCTGTTCTCACGCTCCAATTTCTGTATGAGTTTGTTCTGGATGGCAATCTCTTCGCGCAAGTATCCACTGATCATTTCCATCTCCCGCAGTTTTTGCAGCATGCCTTCAAAGGTTGTGATAGCACGGTTTTGCAGGGGAGATGCCTCCTTGCCTTCTCTGACTCCCCGAGGAACAGAAGTGATGAATGTCGCCTTCTTTGGTGCCACCTCATCTGCCTCACTTATCTCATCAGAGGTCTCCTCCTTCAAGTCCTTTGGAGGCGGTGGCGCTGGCGGCTCCTCAAGTGCCATCTTTATCAGAACAGACTTTCTTTTCGTTCCTGGCGCAAAAAAGGAATTGGAGGAAGAAGCGGATTCTTTGTTTTCTGCCCTCTGCTTCTCCACCTGCTTCTCTGCAGGCTCTGCCTCCACAAGTGACACGGATTTTTTCTTTGCTTTTGTGTGTTGCGCCGTTTCCGCAAGTTTCATGGCGACAAACTTGTTCTTGTCGAGGGCTGTAGAGCTGCCACTTGTCAGGCCTTCGCCCAGCTCCGGAAAGAGTTGCACCTCGCGAGCGGCGTGTCGAGCGCCGGAGAGAAACGACTTGTAACTCACATCAATAACGTCAAGCTGGGCAACAAATCGCCCTTCCTTCGCGGCGAGGCGCCATCCGTCAAAGCACTTCTGCAACCATATGACTTTGTAAAGGCGTTTAAACCTAGCCTCTAGAAGTTTCATTGCGCGCTCGCGCTGTCTTTGCCCAACCACACTACGCCGCCATGTGCGCCACGCCCAACTCTTTAGAAATCCCTCCATATAATGAACGTCGTCCTTTGCTTGTTTCGTTGCCACAGTCATGGCTCGCTGCCGCACAAGGTTAAGGGGCAAAGCGTGCAGCTGTTCAACCTGTTCACCAATAGCCCCTGCCTTCGGTAACTGCTTCTCGTAAAAGGCAAAGTTTTCATATACATGGGGCAGCACATACCGCACGTACAGCTGAAGTGCCAAGGCCGTGCCAGGCAGCATGGATCTCACTTGTTCAAGAATGCACCAAAGCAAAGTAACAGCAAAGGATGTTTCGGCCTCAAGCATCGGCCGGAAACAGCGTTCCTCTGGAATGGAGACAACCGGCAAGCAAATTTCCTTAGGATCATTGCCGCTGGATAAAGATTTTCCTGCCTCCATCATTTCCAGCTGGGATTGCAGCAGGAGCTGAACATAGTTGTGGCCCTGTGAGCGTGAATCCAGTAAAATTTCCGGTACCTCCGCTGCGCCCGTCGCCCGACACCGCAGCAGCGTCAAAAAATGCCGATGTACACGACTAAGCACCCGAAAAAAAAGTCTTTCATAAAGTTCAAATGACATTGAAATTCCACGGTCCGAGCTTGCAGGGACAAAGGCCAAAGAGGACGACCCTCTGCCATTCAAATCCACGCCACTCTTCGGTTTTGCTCCTGTTGGCTTCAAAAGCATCTGGCCCGAGGTCGGTGTCTTCGTCTCCTTCAGCTCAATTAGACACTGCGCCTCCTCCTCCGTGATGGACTTTCGAAAAAAACTCCACAGTGGATCCCGCAGCTCCCCCTCCATCACCGCAATTTCCTCCTCGTTTCGGCGGCACGCATTCCGTGATTCCCACCATGAAAAGATAAGACGGTTCGACTCTCGTTCCTTTTGCATCCGCCAATTCGCCTCCTTCCGGGACATCACAAAGCATTGGGAATGGCCGCCTATGACGTTCACGCCTGCAGCAATGCCCAAGGCGGGTGCCATGAGAATTTTCTTCTCGGGCGCGAAGTGTTTTTCCTCTTCCGGCATTAACCGTGGTTCATTTGTCTCTGGATCGTTGATGACAAGCGGGAAAACGTTGGATTGGCGATCAATCGCCACCCTCGCAAGATGTGCCGCCACTCTTTGCATGAGCTTCGGACGACAATGCGTCATGTCATATGACTCCGTGATGGTTGCATTGGGCGTAACTGTTTTTAAATTTGTGGTCTTTGCCTTTTCTTCGCCCATCCCCGTCTGGTTGTATCGGAGAGGGTACGTTGCGTTCATCGGCTTCGCCTCATAAATGCTTGGCAGCGTGTTGCTACCCACACCCTTTTCAGCTTCCGGCGGCACTGTCCTCTGTGTCCTTGCCGTTTGGCTGGTTAACGTTAAATTCACGGGAGAGTCTAGGAAAGACGCATGCGGACTGCGAATTCCCGCTTCATCGCCTTTCTTCTCCGGCTGCCATCGCGTCGGACGAATCATTGATCGCACACTTCACACACACACAAAAAATAAAAATAAAAAAAAAATTTAATTAAAAAAAAAGACCCACAACGAGAGGGAAAAAAAAAAACAGTAAAAGGTTGCTTTCCGGCAGAAGACACACACACACACACACAGTTACAAGGGGGAAAAAAAGTATCAACTGCAAATTCCTGAATGTTTCTGTCACCGCTTTTCCTTTCTTCTTTGACCTCTCCCTCCTCACATTCCTTCGCCTCAATTAAATTTCACATCGATGCCCCAAGAGTCACTCGCGGCCGAATTCAGCAAATTTGCGTTGGAAAGAACCCAAAGAGGCGTTGTGCAAGAATATATGCAACCGCAATGAGAAAAATGGCAACTGAAATACGCAGCACAAGATCATCCTTAGACTTCACTGACAACAACTTCCGCACCAGGCGCTGCGCTACTTCGACTGTCGCGTTAACATCCTGCAGGGTGCCCTGAAGCATTTCCAATGGCACGGAGCTCCCCGCCAGTTCGTCCACGGCCCCCTGCACCTTGCGTAGCTCCAAATTCAAAAGCGAGCGTGTGTGAAGCAGCGATCGCAATGCGTTGACGGTATCTGCGGCGCCATCCGACCTCTTCGTCTCCGTCGCAGCCACAGCCGCAGGAAGGACACGGCGAATAGCGATGCGGTGAGTCTCCAGCTGCACAAGTAGCGAGACAGGAACGGCAGCGGAGTGACGGCTCAGCGGTTGCTGCTCCTTGACGGTCGCAAGCAACTTCACCACACGCTGCGCGGCGGCCACAGCTAAAACGAGCGCTCCGTGAGTGCGCTGGCTGTGACTCTCCTGGTGCGCCTTCAGAGTGCGATTGAGATCCGTGACTGCAACTGCCGCACGTCTCTCAAGGGCAACCATAAATTCTCTCGGCAGCGCCCCGTCACCAGAATCCGGGAGATCCAGCATTTCGGCCTAAACCCCCTTCCTCATTCAGAACGGAAATAAATAAAAAAAGAAAAGGCTATCACAGAGAAAAAACCGCCCGAAGTCATTAAATACATTCATTACGCACACACACACAGACTGAAGAAAACACTGCTGCACCTCTCTTCACTCTCCCTCCTTCCTTTCTCCCCCCTCCATCTCTTTCGTTTTGTTGCCATCGCTTTGCATTTGCCAAGCAACTGTTGAATTCCTCGTCCTCCATCTCTATGATTGTCTATTCACCGCAAACATACGGGTGTATCGTACCGAGAGAAGAATGCGATGAGAGGTACAGGAATGCGGGAAAGCACCCAACTCTCCCACAGAAGACCATATCAAACAAAAATAAATAAATAAATAAACCATAAGAAAATATATATATATTTATATGCAATCCATACACACCAAGAAATAAAGATCTCTTCGACTCCCATTTGAAATGCTTCACAAAAACAGCTTCTCAACGACGTTGACAGGCTGGCGCCCTTCAAAGATATCCAGAAGCACCTTTATTTCATCACTTACGTTGGTCGCACCGCTGGAGTTGGTCGGAGACCACAAAGAAGAACCCCAGCCGGAGCGGCCATCGCGGCCAAGTGTCTTCTCCACAGACGGCGGCGACAACGACGACAACGACGACGACTCGCTTCGACAGGACGCCGAGAAAGCGGCTGCAGCAAGACGATCCTCCAGCAACATTACTTTATGCTGCAGTTGCCCCAACAAAGATTGATCCAGATGAAGACGAAACCATGAACTTGACCCCGACACGGATGGTTCAGTAGAAATGGTAGACAAATACTGCTCAGTTTCGGCCTTGCTACCGCAGCCCACTTCGCACAGCCTCACGGGAGGATTCTCGAAGGAACTCGGCCGTCTAGCGTCCTTTCTCGCAGTGACGGGAACTTCATGTGAGGTGCTTTTTTCATGCGACGGTGTGCGTGGTGGGGGAATGACGTGGTCCATTTTTGCCCCACTCTCTTTTTCTTCACATCTCGCTGGAGAGAAACACATGCGACGCTGGTGGTTTTGGTGGTCATGATCGGATGCTTGACGCAGGGGCATTTGTCCGTCTTGCGGAAGACGCAGAGGCTCTTGTAAGACACGAAAAACCTCTTTGTCCAGAGAACGTATCACATGCTCGCGTGTGACACGTCGAAGCCGCTCCACAAGCCCCCTCGCTAGGCACTCATCCATATACCGCATGTACTTCTCCAGCAACAATATTGTATGATCTTCCACACGGTGCCGCCATCGCTTTGGTAATTTTTGTCGTTCTTTACTTCTTTTCAAGTCATTTAATGAGGTGCTCTCAACAGCAGCTTTTTTACATTCACGCCTTTTCAATACATTTCTATGTGTTGACGGTCTTTCAGAAGACCGCTTTTCATCCACATTGACATCAGGAAGACTAGCCACCTCGTTGAGGGCTGTCTTCAGCTGATTGATCTCCTCCTGCTGCGATAAGGCTTGAGCCGTCAAGAGCGCTATCATGTGCTCGTAGCGGTTCATCATGTCCAGTGAGAATTCCCTCGTGTCACAGCTGCTACAACTGCCCTCAACCCCACCCAAACCACCACTCTCAGTCGTTTTGTTTCCCAACGGCACATTTCCAGCATTCATGGCCGCGTGGCGTGTAATTGAGGGTGATGCATGAAAATTCGCATCGCTTGACAGGGTCATTCATCCCACCCTCGTGTTCTTCCCCTTGCAAAAAAAAAAAAAAAGAAAAAAAAAAGAAGAAGAGGCCGTGTTGAAAACAAAAAATAAAAATAAAAATGCATAAAGTTAATTCCTTTAAAAAAATCAAACACGCATAGATAGGTATAAACATGTATACATGTAGCGACAATGTGACTAGCAAAGAAGTCATATATATATATTGAAATATATTGAAATATATTGTCACTAAAAAAAAAAAAAACTGGAAACATACCTTTCCATTTCACCCTCAAACTCTATAACGCTTTCCTTTAAAATTACTCTCGTCCGGAGGTGCAGCTCGCAGGTTCAACGGTCATCAAGCTCGCAACATATAAAAAACAAACAATTAGAAAGGCATTCATATATAAATATATATATATAAACAACGCACACATGCCAGAAGAAAACACAAATCTCAAATCACTCCAACTACATCACTTATTTGCAGGCGCAAAATGTGAAAAAAAAAAAAAAAAAAGACAGGGGCTTGTATGACATTTATACAAGTAATGCCCCTACTCCTCCTTTCCTCCTTCTCCTACGGACACATACACACATAAGAAGAGATAAGGGTAAATGGTAGAGAAGTAAAGAAACAAATAGACACAAATAAGTGAAAAATTGCAGCCTCCCGTTTGTGTTTACACGTCGGGTCTATTTCCAAGCAACGATACGCTTATCCTCACCAATTGACGCAAGCATGGGCGTCGATCCGCAAAGGGCCCACACGACACTGTGAACCGCCTTCACATGTCCTCCTACAAGCCGTTCTTGGAGAACGCGGCCGGTATTAAGTGAAACAAAAAGAACTTCTCCCTGCAGGTTGCCCAATGCGCAAAGCGCTCCATCCGGGCTTACTGCGAGGCGTGCAAGGTTTGTTGAGCAACATATCCCATGATCCTCAATTCGAAGCAGCTCACGACTCATTTCGCGCACGTCACGCACGCTGACAGCACCGTCGCGACCAAGTGAAACAAATCGCTGGCCACTAGGGTCCAATCGGACACATGTTACACCCTTCTGGTGGGCATGCTTGATTTCCGTGCCGTGATCGTTCGTGCGGCGGTCCCATATCCATATACTTCCGTTATAGTGCGCCGAAAAAATAAGGGAACCACCCACACAGATATCATTGCAACTACTAGAACACATGATTGTTCGCTGAATTGTACTCTTTCGAACATCCCAAATTTTAATGGTACGATCCGAGCTCGCAGTAAAGGCGTTGTGCGCTGACTGAGAAAGATACGCGGCCACAACCTTCTCACGATGTCCCGTAAGTTCGGCTGTGCGCAACGCATGCGTATCCCAAAAACGGGCGACACCATCGGCGCAACCTGCCAGTAAATAATGCGATGTGCTATCCACGCATAGTGGCACGTCCGTGCTAGGGTGACTGCGCAGCGCCTTCCCAGTACTGTAATCCCAGTGACGGATCATGCGATCACCGCCTCCAGAAATAAGTAACTTCCCGCCATCCGCAGCACACGTCGCGTACAATAATCGATCGCCGTGAGCTTCATTGATGGTGTACGCCTGAGCTGTCGGAACGGGAACCTCCAACGCACTGGAGGCGTCTCGTAGGGTGGCTACGGGGTCTTTCACAGCGCGACTCCCTCGAACCGAGTCACCAAAGTGCGGATCTGAGTACGTCGTCCCCATGATAAAGCCACTACCGCTATTCCGTTTTTCCTTCTGCATTTGATTCCACCTATCCTCGTACTCCAGAATTGTATCCTGCATCCGCGCTATCGTGTCCTTGGCCGTCAGCAGCTCCTTGACGCAGCGATCCCGCTCGCTGATCAGCGTATTTAGTTTTGGCCTAACCACACTATTTTCCTGCTTGAGCGCAGCGTAATCATTCTTTAGCATTCGTAGGACATTTTCGCGTTGTGCTTCCTGCTCCTTTAGCCGCGTTATTTCTTCCTGCAAAACTTTGTTCTCATCCGTGAGACGCTTGGCCTCGTAAAGATTTTTGTAGTAATCCTTCTCCTGCGTGATGTTATCCTGCAGCTGTTTTTGCAGCTCCGCAACCTTCGCCTCCAGCTCTCCCTCACGAGCTGTGGAAGTCAGGACGCCAGCCGCCGCCAGCTCCAACGTCCGCACGTGCTGCATGAGAGCCTTGCACTTTTCGTCCAGCCTCCCGTTGTCGTCGACAATTTCCTGGTACCGCTGTTGCAGACGCAAGAGCTGATTTTGCGTAATTTTGTGTGCGTCAAACACACACTCCGTAAGCTGAATTTCCGCAGCATTGCGTTGGAGAATCTGCCGGTCAATCACGGCGACCCACGCGTTCATCGTTCACGGCGCCGTTGGCCAGCACCCGACACCAGATGTATGTCGCTATTTTTTTCTTTTTTCTCTGCCCAGCCTCAAAGGCCCCTAGAAAAGCCCTACAGAGCTAGACAGACGCAAAACGCACGTAGATCCCAAAAGAAAAGAAAAAAAAATTTGGTGTAAACCGTCGGGAGGAAGTCGGACAATGCATGGAGGCACACCGTCACTATTCCCCTCTCTCCCCAGCTCATTCACACAAACAATTACGATGCAACACCAAAAAAAAAAAAACTCATCCAAAAAGGAAATCCGTTCAATCACGCTTCTTTGCCGGCCACCGGTCCTCCAACAGAAATGCCACTGCAGAGCTACACAAAAAACAAAATTAAATAAATAAATAAAAATCACTTCCCACGGATCCTCCCATTCACACTTAGACGCGGCTGCTTCTTGTTCCTCTTTTTTGTTTTTCGTTTTCCCCATCTAAGCCCCTCTTTTCTAGGGAAAAGCACATGCAACCTCTACTGGTAAGCCAACATATTGGTAGAAACGCCAAACTTGTAGACCTGGCTGCGGGTATATCCCATGTCCCGCAGAAAGCCGCAATACTTGTAGAATGGCCCTTGCCAATATGAATAGTTACCAATCGTACTTACTCTTCCACAAAGAGGCAACAGCATACTCTGGGGACCACAAATAAGGATCTTTGGCCGCACAATATTCCCTGTAGCGGGATTAACGATAGCGGGAGGTGGGAGTGCCTTTTCTACGATAGTTGGATCAATGTTTCCGAGAAAGAAGTTTTCACCCAGACGTACACCCTGTGCTCTTGTCTGCTTGGCCAGGGAAAAGACATTGTAATTTGAAGATATCCTGTCAGGATTTCGCCTAGCGTAGGCATCAAATGTCTCGCGAAAGGGAATGTCCTTTGCAGTGTGGTGACAATATAGGAAGTATAATTTTGTGCGATCACTCTTATCGCTTTCCAGCACCTTCATCAGCTGCAAGGCAATCGAGGCACCAGAGGTGGTGGAAATGAGACCCAACTCCCCATATGTGTTCTTCTTGTACGGAAACTCCTTCATCCAGCGGCCAAGGTAGACCCGATCGCCGCGCTCAAGATACCGCAGTCGGGCTGACATAACTCCAGGGTCGCGGTCTTTAATTGCAAACTCCACGATACCCCGCTGCTCCGGATGACTGATCGGTGTATACCAACGGCTAACGGAACCCATACCTCGCACAGTGCCGGAAGTCACCCTCACCGAACTCACCGGCTCATAACCACAGTAGTCGTAACTATTGGGCAACGCAAAGCGTAGCACCATCATGCTAGATCCATCCACCTTATCTTTTTCAATAAGCGTCACCGGCACAAGCGGTGCAAACCGTGATCGCTTCGCCAGTGGACGGTATTCCTGAAGACGAACAAAAAATGCATAGTAGAGGACGGAGACAACGCCACCGGCGACTCCACAAGCCAATGAAAGGCGGGCTGCGTAACCGACATTCACATCGTTGAGGATGTTTCGTACTCGTTTAGGAATGTCTTGTAACTCATAGGACCAACGTGGTGTTCCGCGTTGTGATTGACGTTTCTGCCACCGAGCTTCACGGTGGCTGCCGTCACCAAACCAGGATGAATCTGACGATGGGCCCCCGCCTCCCTCAGCACCACGAGACCCCATACACGCAAGATGAATTGCCCAAATTTCCCTCACCCCCTCCCCCTCCCGTCTTTAGCTACCCGCTCCTTAAATAACAAGAGATGAATAGGAAAAAAAGGAGGGGAAGAAACGGATGAATGTGTGAAACAAAAACTAGCGGCGTGGTGCAGAAGAAAATAAAGGAAGGCAACACACACACACACACACAAAAAAAAAAAAAAAAGAAGCAAAAGAAAACAAAATTCATCCTCATAGAGTTCTGCTACACGGAGAGAATCGCGTCCAAATGATGCTTCCTCCAAATACACACAAACACACACACACACATCCATGCAAACTATCCTTTTCTTTCCCTTAACTGCTCTAACTCCCCGCGCCTTCCCAAAAAAACACAAGCCATTGACAATATTATTCGCCCTGCAAAAAGTCATCCCCCTTTCCTTGCCCCTTCCTCCCCGTCGTTTCATTCCATTTTTTTTTTTTTTTTTCCTTTTTTGAGGGGTTTGCCTATAAAATAACAAGAAAATAAATAAATAAATTCGCTAATTTTATTGCCCAATTCCCTTCTTTCCCCCACCCCGCCCCACCCCACCCCACTCACTACAGAACCGCACTTTTTGTTTTTCTCGTGTTTTTTTCTTCTTCCTTTGGACTCGCTAATCGTACCGCAGCGGAGATAGCCCCACTCCTGACCAAACGAAAGACTTTTTCTTATTTCGCCACCCCAATTTTATCGGTCTTTTGTTGCTGCTTTTGTGGTTGTTCTTTCCAAAGGAATAAAAAAGTGTGGGTCATTTCTATTTCCTAAAACATTATCGGACCGGCAAAGTTCATGCAGAACCGGACTGGGCAAGCCTCTGCAACTCCGCCGTCGCCGAGCCCGGGTCCAACACACGCACGCTTTTTGCCTCCTTCAGTGTCGTCTCAAACGCCGACTGCAATTTGTCTGTCTCTGCGTACATCATCCCCTTCTTACCAAGCCCATCTACAATGACTTTGGCGGCATTCGTGCCGGATCCAACTACGATGATACTCACAGAAGAGAGCTTAAAGGCGTTGGGCCGTGCAGGGTGCGACGCAAAGGCATCCTTCGGAGAAGAAAAAAGATGCCCGCCCGCCGCCGCTTTGGTAGCCGCATCATCCGTATAAATGTGGGGCAATTTATATCCAAAGCCAGAGACATGACGACGGCCATAATGACGATGTGAACGTGCATTATACAAACCAATTCGCCCTGAAAGTGGTTTTTGTATACGACCAAGGCTCTTTTCTACCAAATCGTGTTCCCCAACATCTACTTTATCCTTTTTTGCAGATACAACATCCCATGCACGAGAGACCCACCCTTCAGCGATGCGGTGATGACGCGCACCAAATATGTACGGTGATGCTCGGAGAATATCCGCCTCCAATTCCGAACCACATACAACCAGCGTAAGTTTCTTAGCATCAGGGCTTAAAATGCTTTCCGCAGCAACTGTAAGAAATCCCTTGTCATCGGCATAAAAACCCCATCGGGCACACAAGAAAGCCGTAACATCAAGCAATACATCGCAGCTTGGCTCCGCTGCAATAGCTGCCTTCATAGGGATACTATATGGCTCCAAAGCGATAAATTTGGGGTGTTCAAGACCCAAGTCTTTTGGACGGGGCCCACCAAACTCCTCAACAATACGGGGGCTCTCAAAATCCCAACCTGGAGCGTGGTACACCAGTACACCAGGACGCCGCCATCCCCATTCATCAATGGGAGATTGAGTAATTCGCTTTGATAACATAATTTCTTGCTGCGCGACATAATTAAATTTGCGTATAGCTGCAAGTGACGCAAAGTATGCATGTGTCGGATTGTCAGTAATGATACGATAGGGCGTTTGAGTTTCCGGATGACTTCCAAATACGCCATCGACAAGGTAAAAACGTAATCCCTGCCCTAGGTGGTACTGTATTTCCCGAAAAATGCGTTTACCATGCAGCGCGCTGATGTCTCGAAAGCCAGGGAGAGAGGGATTTTTAAAACGACGGTGCATCTGATGCTCCGGTGTGTGCGGAAACATGAGGAGTTGTGGCGGCGTTGTCTTCTCCTTTTGGTTGCCACAATTGTAGTAATAATCAATGACGATGGCGCCTGCCTTATTGAAACGGCGTCCCCAGGCCCGCCCCCGCACCTCATACGGGCGCAGATTATACTCGCCCACACCATATGTATATCGCCAGACTCCTGACCACATGCCGGCATTTGCGTAGTCACCCACCTGCGTCCAATTTGAAACCAGGGTGCTGCTGTTCGCGTTCCACCACGGCCCAGGGTCCTCATTTGTCTTGCGGAAGAGTGTGAGGGAGTTGAAACCCCATTGATACATCGTCCGCAAATAATTCTTCGCCGGTGTACGAGTTGATGGTGATGGGGCGCGTGGAGCAACTTCATGTCGAAAGATGGGTTTGCGGCGCTCCTCCTCCGCGTCGGGGTTGCAGCAGATGTCGTTAAGAAGTGACATCTGCCCCGCGCTATGCCCCGCCTGCGGACGAAGTGTCTCTTGAATGTTTGCGTAGCGCACATGGCGACGCTGCTGGGCAGGACCCACGCAGCGCGCGACGATAGTCGATCCTCTCCTCGACCCAATGACAGCACCACGCAGCATTGTGGCCACGGCAGAAATGTCACAAGTGCCACACTACGCGCAAAAGGCGCCCAGAGAATTTCAAAGGCAAAAGCAAAAAAAACAGAAAAAAACATAAAAAAGCAACGGTTGTCTCCAGACACGCACACACTGCAAATGCGAGGGCGAAAAAATCGAAAAGTCAGAAACTTCATTAGGCGTCGAGTAAACGACCAGAGAGAAATACGCCTTTCCGACATCACAGGTAGAATTTAAAGAGCGGGGGCGGGGGAAAGGGAAAAAAAAGAGAGCGCCAATAAAGCAATACAAAGCCATAAATTACCAAATAGACAGAAGTCTAACAAACACACAAAAAAGTTTATGCACGCATATATCTCCGCTTGCAATTCATCCAAACATCTTCGCAGCGAAACAACAATACAAACACAGCAACAAAAATAAATAATAATAATAATAATAATTTAAAAAAAAAAAAAGAAGGCACACACAAACACACACAATAATAATAATAATATAAAAAATAATATAAAAAATAAAAGACTCTACCCCCACCCCACACACACCCCACACACACACACACACAGACACAAATATACAAATATATATATTTCACTCAACATAATTTGACAGGTGTTTGTTATATTTTTGTACCTTCTTCAATTGTAACGTACTTCACATGCGTTCTTTTTTCTTTTTTCTTTTTCTTTTCTTTGTTTATTATTTAAAGAAGAAGAATTATGTTGGGGGGTAGAGAGAAAAACGGGTGTCCGTACATTTTTATCGACAGTCAACCTCCCAACAAAAAAAAAAAAAAAAAAAAGAGAAAGAGCAACAAAAACATATATTAAAAAAAAGAAAAAAAAAAAAGATCAACTTGCATTGTATGCACGTCATCGAACAAAAGATAATAATAATAAAAAAAAGGGAAGAAAATATTCACCCAACAAGGGGAAAAGTCGTCTTATTCGCAACACTATCAGCGAAAAATGTCTTTCTCTCTCTCTCTCTCTCTCATTTTTTTTTTTTAATTTCATTTATTTTTTCGGTAATACTTACATTGCAATCCGCCCAAGCAATATAATGATGCCACATTATTCATCCACTGTTGCTGGTTTCTCTTCCGTTGGATGTCCTTCCAACGTCCATAGTCGAAAGATTGAGTTATGCGGAAAAAAATCGTACGAGGGGCGTCAGGGGGCAAAAAAAAAAAAAAAAAAAAAAAAAAAAGGCAATCTCTCAAAAAACCGCGGTTGCGGCTATACACATGAAAGACTAAATATATATATATATATTTATATAATGGGATGAAACAAACGCTTTTTTCAAAATTGTAAAGTATTTTGTCTTCTCGTGCGCTCTTAACGCCGCAAAGGACGCTGTGTGGCCTCCATGAACAGCGTGGCCTTCCCGGCGGTAGGGCTATCCAGCAGATCCACACTTCCCTCCGTAGCGGTGTTTACTTTTGGTATCACCGAATTCAGCGACATGCATTCTTTGATCCGACGGGTAATTCCATCCATGGCCATTGGCGAGAGTGCGCTATTCGTGTTGCTTTCAAAGCCCAGCGTGTCCACGACAGTACTGGTAGACTCCGGAGTATTCGTCCTGTTTCCCCTGTTTAACAATCTGGGCAGAACAAGCCATGGCGGTTGCACAACAGGTACAATATGTGGCGAGGAAATGCATGCATTTGAATTGCTGTTTTCGGCCCGCAAGAGCGCACTGTCATCGTCGCATGAAGCCAACCTTGGTGAGACGGCCTCTTCTTGGCGCATCACTTTTCCACAGGACATCTTCTCCACTTGTATGCGCACATCGCTGATTTTAGGACGTTGCCTTGGGTCAGCGGCAAGCATCGACTCCAGCAGCAAGCGCCATGCCTGTGGCACCTCATCCGCGATGACAATTGGGGACTGCAGCACCGCCTCAATATCCTTCACGGAGAGAAAAGGCACTCGTCCCATCAAGAGAGTGTAGAATGCCACACCGAGGGACCACACGTCAATGGCAAAAGGGTTCCCTCGAGGGCTGCTGTCACCGTGATCATTTTCGTCATCATTGTTGCTCACGCCGAAAAACAATTCGGGAGGCATAAATAACGGCGTCCCCTCAAAACGATTAAAAATATCCTCACAGCCCTCCTCAAGAATGGCTGCAACGCCAAAATCGGCAAGAAAAGCGTGTTTGTTTCTATCCACAATGATATTCTCAGGCTTAATATCGCGATGCACCACGCCGCATTCATGTAGATACTCCAGCCCAGCAAGGATTTGCCGTGCGTACAAAACGAGCTCGTCAGGCATCATTTTGGGACATCGTCCATCCGCACCCACGACAGCGAGAGGCCCATTGTCGACGTAACGCATCACGAGATACAACTTTTCGGCGTCGGGATCGTCAATCACCTCATATAATGGGACAATGTTTTTGTGCCGCAACTTTTTCATAACCTCAATCTCGCGTCTTAGCGCTTCCGCGTTCTTCGCCGATGCGTTCCTACCGGCTCCAAAATGAGCCTTCTTTTTAGGACGAGGTATAATTTTTATAGCCACGGTTTCGTTGCGCGAGAGGCTGTATGCCAGCTTGACTTTGCCTGAAGCTCCCTTCCCAATGCTCTTAAGCACCATGTAGTCATTAAGGATCTTTGCGCCATTAATCCAATGCGTTTTGGAGGCATGTCTAGTTGTCATTATACGACGATCAAGAGACAGTGATGAGAAGGAACGGTTGTGTCTTGCCGGTGGCCCAAAGTCTGTATCATCTTCGCATTCCATCATGTTATCCAACTTCGACAGGGACCTTTCCCTCGTCGTCGTAATACGTGTCCGTTGACGTGGGAGGATCATATTTTCCGAGTCTTTTCGATGTAGTGTCATTCCACTCCACGGCGCGCTGTGAGCGCTGTCTGGCGCTTCACCTTTATCTGTCTGCATTGAGAAAGCCAGTGACGGACCGCAAATGTTCCCCGCAATGGTTGAAAGGAGACAATGCACTCGACAGCAAAATCCAGTCAGTTCAACGTGACTCATGCCAGAAAAGAGGCACTCCGCCTCCCCGTCTGTGCAGTGATTCCACTTGTTGAGCCCGGACAGGGAAAACGGGTGCGGTGGACGTTCTGCCGTCCCACGGGTGTGACGGGTGGCCGCGCGCTGAAGATCACGCACCGCTTTGGTGTACCACGACAAAAGGGCCTCGGCCGTAAGAGTGGGCGGCTCCCGCACCTTCTCCTCCTCCGCGTGTACAACCCGACGATTATACACGCGATGCGCATGACTCGTCATTTTTTTCTTTTTCGCTCTTTTTTTTTGATTTTCTTTGACGGCTGGTACCCCTCTGCCTCGCCCGCGGCTTCTTCTTTCTCCTTCCAATGGCAGAAACAAGAAAGAAAGAAAGAAAACAGGGCAGTAACTGAAACAGCAGGAGCAGAGACGTCACGGCATGTGTGTGTGTGTGTGTTTTGCCCAGCCACAACGCAAGCTGCGCCCCGATAAAAGAAGACGGGGCCTCAGCCCTTTTTAACCCA